ATTCTATTCGATGGTCTAAGCTTTTTTTTACTTTACTTTCATTTCCTGTAGTTATGAACATCTGATCTAATGAGAGTATCTATACATATTAATAAAAATTGTGTGTCTGTATGTGAGTGTGAATGTCTGTAACATCGAGAAAAAAAATCATATTTTTGTCTATCTGTATGTTTGTCCGCACGACTGCGTTTGTTCCTAGTAATCTCCGGAACGACTAAGCCAATTTTAACGAGACTGACGGGTACAGCTGACGTACGCGGGCATATTATAGGCTACATTTTTAATTTTGAGTTGGCAAAGTCGCGAGCGATCGCTAGTTTCATCATAAATCTTGTATGTCGTAGAGTTCCATGGAGTGCGTATAGATTAGTCATAAATCATCTAACACCAGGCTCAGTCGTGATCATTAATCCCACTCCTCCATTACTTGCTAATGGAATTGCACTCCAACATCTAACTGTGTGAATGTAAACCTTATTGCAAATTGTTAAGGTTTCATTTTCATTGAAAATTGTTTTTTTTTTCTATTGTTATTTTCAGTCTTCGATTGGTTTGTTTTTCAGACCGATTCTTAATGTCTACGGTCATGGTTTATTCATGCTCAGTAAAATGGTAGTTACTTTTATGCTATTATTTAGATTCTATTGGTTAGAGCGACTTATTGTTCCAATAATTGTATTTATTTCATGAAACTAAAGAGATGTTTTATAATGTACTATATCGACCGCGACCCTGTCCGTACTGAATTAAAAAAAAAAACTTAAGTAGCGTATGTGTTCATTGATGAAAGTTAACACGTTTCATGTCAATGCAATTTATAGTAGTGTGTGCAGTTGGAGAGAATTTACATCTATGAGTCAGTGGCATTGAATGTGTTAAATAATGTTTAGGAGCCTCTGTTAGCGAATTGACCTTAGGACCGCAGACGCATGTCACCCACGCGTTCGGGGCCATGACCTCCCGTCTGTTTCAACCAGTATTTATAAATAACCATCATTCAGTATTGTTCGAATGACCTTTGTAACTACTTCCGTTGTTGTTAAATGTCTAACCGTTGGTTTCTGGGACCAAAGTTCTATAAAACATATAGCTATCTCTAGCTTTCATCTTTTAAAAAACAAAGATAAGAATATGTTTTAAACGGCGATTTTGTTCTCGGAAATCCACGGTTAGTAAATACCTATTTAAGCACAAAGCTTATTCGATTACGAATTGGTTGTTGTGAATTATATCGTACCGTTTCGAATATTAAACTTTTAAACTAAGCATGGATTTTGATAAAATTGAATTTAAACTCAATGAATTCACTTGTTTTTCTTGTTTTTAAAGTATTATGCAAGATAGAACTATGCTTCAATTGTTATCGGATCACATCATTATCTCTTAGCCCAAGTTAAACAGCAGTTATTTCTCAGTTACATTGTTAACAAAGCAACAATGAAAATTGGCAATTACATACATCAGCCAAACGATTGCTCGTAAACCTAGCTCCCTCATTAAACGGAGGGTCGCGAAAACCGCATATTCAACAGAATGATTTTCACCGAAAGCAATTTATTTCTCCGACACGAAAATTTAATTACGCCCTTTTCAAGCCCGGAAATTAAAAATATAATTACAGCAAATTAAACACCAATGCTGCCCTGCGTAGTTACACAAAACGTCTTTTACATCGCCTTGAAATATCGAAAATGAAGAGAGGAATTAGGTATCTTCAATGTCACCCAAAAACTATATTGTATCTCGTTAATAATAAAATTTGAGTGTCTATTATAATCAGTTTGTGTTTTTTTGGAAATTTACTAATATTTCTTTTTACTATTCTAAATAAGCTCTAGGTAGGCTTGTGCTCCTATGGTTTACGGCAATAGTCGAATGGCGGGATTTGAACCCCCGACCGCGTGATCGGAAATCCGTACCCTTAAGGCTATTGACGCTTCATTATAACAATATTCATAACCACAATATTAGATTAATGGATTCACTTTTAGCATGCTGCATATGTGTACCGCAATCCCAATAATGAGTCGCGTTCAGGAATTTTGTACTCATTAGAAAGTTCCATTCTTGTTGCGTTTTATATTAACCTAGCTTCTAACCTGTAGCTTGAACTTGTTGAAGTTTATTATGGTATTAAAGTTAACTGTTGTAGTTAAGATTTATATGATTGGATAAATGTTGCCGATGAAATCTTTAGAATCTTTTTAATTGTACTTATTACATTTGTGTATTGAAGTTGAATTCAATTTTTGAACAAACAATTTAATAACGAATCCGAAACTCAATAAGGTTCGAATCTATGTCGCTAATTGGAGCATTTCAATGCAGTGAATTCAAATTGAAACAAGAATCGAAAGCGTAGTTTGTGCCGGTTCAAACTGAATGCTTCAATCGAACTCTATCTACTCAGTAGCGATCTGCAATATTGTGAATAGCATGTTCTGTAGAAACAGAAATCCTTTTTAAGTACCTTTAAATTAATAATACCACAAGAAGTATTTAATTGTTCGTTAACTTGCTTTGATCACTCTTAAGGATAAGGGATTAATTTTCGCACTTAGAGTCCCCAAGAGGCCGCTAAGAGATAATAATAAAGCTAAGAAAGAATAATAACCAATGTAGGGATATCTTGTTAATCGTACTGGTATTATAAATGTGAATGCTTGGATGGATGGACGTATGATTGTTAAAAGGTATCTCCAGAACTGCTGCATGGATCACGATGAAATTTCGCATAGATGTAAAGTGTAGTCTGGAACAACACATAGACTACTAAATAAATTTTATTTAATACCGCGCGGATGGAGTCGCGGGCGGCTGCTAGTTAAAAATAAATTGTTATCATTAGGTTACATAATATCTTGTCAGAATAGTCTATCGGTAAAAAGACGTAGAATAAAGTCTGCACAATGTACGAAGCTCGTAGTTACATTATACATTTCTCAGAACTCTGGAGAGTGGTTCAGGTGCAGGGAATACGTAAAGTTGTATATTTTCCATTTAAATGCATGAGTTTGTAAGACAACTAGTGTATTACGTTTTGTATGTATGTATTGAAACGTACCAGAACATAATGGAAAACTTTGTAATATCTTATTTGGCTTTGAGATGATATTCTTTTTGCGATAAGACCATGCAGGTTAGGTTTTATTCAACGATAAAATATTATTCGCCGGAAAATGTTTCGTTTTTTTTTTTAATTTCGTATTTTAAATTAATATCTGAAGCATAGCTTTTTAACTATGCTATGCTTTTGTCTCTTGACGACAGTAAAGTAAAAATTAATTTAGTTTTTTTTTATTAAAACTATATTGTCGTTCCTTCCTGCCAGAAATATTTTGGATTTGTTCCAATGAATGAAAAAACAATTATAATAATTATTCGACATTGTAACATGTACTTGAAATTTATAATAATGTAGGTCTTTAAAAATAATTCTTCTATGTCCTCTATTATTATGTATATTTATTACTTAAACATTACTGCACATATTTTTGTTCTTAGTTTTTATCATGATCTTTTTTTAGTTTGAACGACTGAACCGATTTAAAAAAAAATCCACTGTTAGGAAGCTAAACTATCGCCGGGTGAAATAGGCTATATTTATTATTGGAGTTTTATTTCATTACTCGTGGACGAAGCCGTAGGCTACTGCAAGTGAAATGCATTGTGAGAGCTATGGCGCTAGTGTGAACTGCCCTTAGTTTAAAGGCAATAACAAAAGACGATGGGAACCAGACGGTTATATAATAGTAATTACTAACACGCACAGTTATCATATCACTGTTAAATAATATATAAACAATAATAATACAAGTGCAATCGTGCGTTTTGTATGACTTGTAATTTGTAATTGTAACGCTGCAATTCACACCACAGATTATATCGTTAATTAATGTTTAAAGATGTTTTATGTGGGAATTTTATATTTCGAAATATTGTTATTAATATCTGATTTCAGAATATTATCTCCATTTGTAATAAGAATATGTTAATGATGTTAAATTGTTATGAATATAAATAACGCATCACATGGACTCTATGAGATCGTCTGACTTGAACTTAAACCATCAACCTGCCCGATTGAGGGTCGGTACAGTATGTACTACTCCTCCATACATCCGAATCTACACTCTTCCTACGCATATTCTCTTTCACACAGTCATTCCATACTTTTTTTGGTCTTCCCCTACCCTTGTAGCCATCCACATTCAATATCATTACTTTTTTGCTTCTATCATCATCATCCCTCCGTACAACATGTCCAAACCACGGTAATCTTTTACTCCTCGATTTCTCGATCACTGGCGCTACTTTCAAACTTCCTCTAATATACACATTCTTAACTTATCAGAGACGCTAGTATTTTGGATTAAATCAAATATGCTATAGTATTTTATGTGCATCATTAATTTAACGCGCTCTTGAATTTCATTACACATTATAAACATATAACGGTGTACACAATGTGAAATTAATCAACACATACTTGAGCCCGGTGGCGCGGTGTAAGCGTGTTATATACCAGTAATACACGCCTACGCCCTGAGGAATTTGCTTACACCTGTACATCGACGATAAAGGGCTTTCGCACCCCACGTGGGTAAGGGTGGATAATTCTACAAATTCCTTCCACCCAACATATTTCGGTGTTCGTTATTAATATAAATACTAGTTTTTAACCGCGACTTTGCTATCGTGCAATTAAAAACGAGTAGCCAATGCGTTATTCTAGACAGTACACCCGTGCCGTATTCCGCGTTGCGAACAGCAACAGTTCATCTTAGTGTCCCTCCGATTATTGAAGTTTGACAGTTTAGAATACCTTTCTCTATCTTTGGCGAAGCGGAATAGTTGGGCGGCAATCCCAATTCCTATCTACTCATATTTTCTTACCAATCTTGTATAAAAGAAACATTGCTATTAAAAATAAAGTTTATACAGTTTTAACGATACTTGTATTAAACAAAGTAAAGCGTCGATAATACTAAAGGAGGCACAATTGAAAGCAGGGCCTATACTTTACGGGTACGCCTCGAATCATCCCCCGGGACCCATTACGCCGTCGCTTTGTTCGTTTTACGTTGGAACGATTTTTAGAAAATTGTAAGCGCTCTACGAACCCATTGCGAGCGTTTTTACATCTTATTTTATGTACGAATTAACGTTTTGTTTTGTAAATCAATATATTTCAAGAGCGGAGATTTTTTGTGGTTACTTAATATTCGTATTTCAAATACTCGCCGCAATTAGCAGTTACTAATATGTTTTAATTTCGACTGCAAGATTTAATTTGACATCACATGGCATTGCTAAACAAGAAATAAGAACAGTAATTAAATTATTATTCAAAAAGTGCTACTTTAATTATGAAACAACGCTTAATTTATAACGACCTACTTATTTAGACAAAGCTCCTGCCTAAATGTGGGGTAAGTAGGACATTCCCCGGGTGCGTACCCGTACGTGTCGGGGCGTAATGCGCCCTCGTTCGGAACTTCGAGGGATCGTATTTATGAGTCTAAAGCTTCCAATCAATTTGAATAAATAGAATCTTTAGTACTTAGACCTGGTAAATTATATCGGCAGTGGAAACCTACAGTTAATGAAATACAGTTTATGTCAAATAATAATAATTATGTAATTAAATAAATTTTGTAAATTTAAGCAGTCTAATGTCGATACCAGGCCTGTATGACGCGCATCCTCTTGGCCTTTTTCTGGAGCTGTAGCATGGCGTATAGCAGCGCCTCTGCCGAGGGCGGACAACCCGGCACGTATATGTCCACCTAGTCATAATTCAATACGTATTAGTTTAAAACATAATCTAATCGAGTCTCCGTGAATTTTGAGAATCAGTATTTTTAATCTACAAAGCCTTACAGGTACAATGCGGTCAGCCCCTCGCACTGTCGAGTACGTATAGTGGTAGTAACCACCGCCATTGGCGCAGCTGCCCATGGACACGACCCATTTGGGCTCCGGCATCATGTCGTACGTCTTTCGAAACACGGGCGCCATCTTGTTGGTGACCGTGCCCGCAACGATGATGACGTCAGTCTGCCGCGGCGTGCCCCGAAACACCATACCAAAACGGTCCATGTCGTACCTGGACAGAGAAACTTATAAGCTACGAATTCTGACTACAGACGCTACGGCTCCTACGAATTATAACTTCGTAGTCGTAGCAAATGAGATTCATATTTCGTAGTGACTTTTGTAGTCACCTAAATTGTTAGAATATTTATGTTAGAAAACAGTTTGTCTGATCTATTTTGACTTTTTAAACTGTGGTAATATTTTATAAAACAAAACACAGCAGCTTTTGAATGTTCTGATTGCGCGTAGTGATAAAACTCGTTGTCAGGCACAGGTGATTCTGCGGTCAGTGTTATATAAAAACCGATCGGAACGCGTCTTGCGGTTTACACAACACGTGTTGGTTACAATAAATAAAATATAATCTAGAAATAACAAAGCAATAAGATTTTATTTTTATTTTGTATCTTTACAGGTAAACGTTCACATTTATTACAAAAAGGCTAATTGTTAATAATAAAAGGTAAATAACGCATAATGTAAAGCATATGCTTTCGGTGAAGGAAAACATCGTGATGCAACCTGCACATATCTGAGAAGGAATTCAATGATATGTGTGAAGTCAACCAACCCGCACTGGGCCAGCGTGGTTGACTATGGCCTAGTCACCCTTAACTTAGGGTAGGCTCCGAGCCCCTCGGTGGGGACGTATAGTGAGCTGATGATGAACGCATAAAGTAATCTAGGGTTAGGTTTTTGGAATCCTTTTTCTCGTTAGCCTTTACAAGTTTAACCCGAATTCTCTAGACTTGCGTATTACATATTCGGGCTACGGATTTTGATTTTTTGTCAAAAAGTATTAGGGTTTATTGAAATATGACAATCTTCGCATCATTTACTACCACAAGATACATCCCGGCATTACATGGGCGGTTTTTATTTACCTGGACGCTGCATAGTGCATCATCTCGAGCGCGCAGCAGGCGAGACCGAAGGTGAGCGGCCACATGGAGCGGCTGCGGCCCCAGTTAAGGATGTCGTCCATCCGAGCTACCACCCACTCCGCCTTTGACTGCAACACCACATACATATGATGAGTTTCCAATGACGAATTATTAAAATATAAAATAGATTTTACAACTTTTTTTTCATTTTCCTCTAAAGAGAAGAAGAAATATTTTATATTACATTTATACAATCGTATAAAAGCTTGTGGCATATTTCTGATCGGATCAGAGCTGTCCAATAACTCGTGTCGCTGATCTCACGAGATCTTAGATCCCCCAACGTTGCGGCTTACGACGACTTTACAAACATGTCTCAACGGATTGACTTGTTTGTTAAAAAATCAAGACATTTCTGAACCGGGAAATAAGAAAGAAATTCTATTTATTTATATCCTAAAAGTTTATTTAATTATTCGAACTTCCGCACGCAAAGGCTTTTAATGATTACTTAAAGATCGCTTTAGTGTCGATTCCACACTTGTGTGGGTTGTAAATGTGCAGAGTGTAAAGTTAGCAAATTGGTATTATATTATTGTATACTAGGGCTTCATAAATTCACTAATGAGTCTTTTAAATCACAAACACTAATAGTGTAAAGACCGGGAACTTATCCAGGCTCAGACTAGACGACACCGATTGTGAACAGATACAGAAACCAATGCAGTGCCCACTAGCTTCTATTTCATTACAATATTACCGTATATGTTCGCACTAATCCTTCCATGTTCCTTTGGAATTGAAATTAACCATCAGGTGACCTAAAGTTCTGATATCCTGGTACTTTATATTTTAATCTAAAGAAACTAAGCACTAAATATGTTTTCTCTCCATAATTATGTAAATGTTACAGCATCTCATAATTATTATGTTTCTGGTATTATCTCTAAAAAAAGTTAACAAAGGTTTTAAATTTAAACAGCTCTTTAAAAAATGTTTTCCTCATTAAAATTTATTTAACATAAAACGTTACTGGTTGGAATAATAAAAGCTACCAAAGACCATTGAGAATCAAAAAATGTGAGTGTTTCTTTTTAAACATTTCCACATTTTGAATTTTTATCTGTGCAAAATATTTGTACAGCTTAAAGTGGATAGTGCGCTTTGTTTGCGAACGATAATAAAAATCAGCGCTATGGCAATTTTTTTTTTATCTATTGAATAAACGACATTGTTTAATTTTGTTAATTGCATAATAGAAAAGTTATTTAACCGACTTTATTTATTTATTTGTACACAATAAATGACTACATAAATAAAAAATGCAAGGAGGAAAACGATGTACAGGTTGAGTTTATATTCCTGTTAGAATTTTTGTGTGACAATAATTCTACAATTTAATTAAAACTAGCTGTGCCCGCGGCTTCGTCTATGTGAAATTCTGTCTTTGGCTACTTATTTTACTAACACTTTAGAACATAACGGCAAAACATTCACATAAACGTCACATACTTTCTCATACTTTCATCCCCTATTCCCTCTTGTTATTTTGCACCCTTGAGGGTAACATTTTTAAAAACATTGAATCTCATATTTCTTTATATCAAATTAACAGCCTAAAAATAAGTTTCGGTCTTCTTTCTATAATATAAAAATGACGATACTTTCATACAAATTTGCAACCCCCTTTTGAACCAATTTCAACCACTTTTTCGCGTTTAGAAGTAGCCTATGTCCTTTTCCAGGCTCTAGACTACCTGTGTACCTACCAAATTTCATTTAAATCTATTCAGTAGTTTTTGCGTGAAAGAAGAATAAACAGAGTTACTTTTTATTATATTAGTGAGGATTGACTTTGTTTAAGTACTGTGTATTGGTAGAATGAAGTCTGTTACCTGTCCCGGAAAATGGAATGGAGAATATGGTCTCTTTTCTCCGACTTTATAAGTTTTACCACCATGAATAGGTACTGGAGGTATCTTCACTGCAGTCTTTGGAGCACATGACTTTCCACCACTTTTGTATCTTACACTGAAGTCTTTTTCTTGATGTACATTTTGTCCGGTAATTTTATTCCTATCGACCGCTCCGTAGCCATTAGGAACAGAAAGGGACTTGAAAATATTGGAATGATTTCGAGCGCTGTTGAAAATTGTTTGAGTTTTAGTTTTAATTCGTTTCGAAATTTTATTATGGAACTCGGAGAAACGAGATTTTGTTCGATGTTCACAGATAATTAAATTGAATGTACGGAATTTCTAAACTTGTTGGAAATTCCTCGTAGTTCTATAAAGAAACTATTACAAATATGAACACTACTAGTTTTTGTCCGCAGTATCGTCTGCGCAAAATAAAAAAAAAATCTTAGTGACTTATTCCAGAATGTAATCTCTTATCGAAATTTCATCCTGATTCGTTTAGCCGTTATGTATTAATGTAATACCAAACATCCATCCATCCATCCAAACTTGCGCATTGATATTTTAGTCCTAAGAGATTGCCACTTCATTATTTTATGTTATTAACCTCACCGAGATTGTCTTAAATATAGCTTATAAAACATACCTGTATAATGTGGGTTTAAATATATCTCTTAAAATATTCATGGCACTTTTACCGAATATTTTTAACATTTTATTTTATCAATTGATATTTTTAACCAAATAACCTCCCTTCATATAATTACAAGTGACAAGTTGTCATTATGTCAATTTGTCTGATGACGTTCGAGACATTTGACGTATCTTTCCAAATTCGAAAAAGGTTTCTTGTCCTACAGTTGAAAAAGTTTTCATAACGTATGACTTTTTTCACGTAATAAAAAAACATTTCTTTTTTATCATTAAATATATCTAACATAATTCTATTTGCCGCTACCATTTAAATGTAAAACGTTTAACTGAAGTTTCTCCCGGCCCTTGTCCTAGTTTGCTGTTTTGAGGACATTTAACAAGTTCCGGAATTTAATTTGCAACATTCTTCCACTTCTGTATAAATTAATACAGTTGTTTTTTATCTATGTCTTACACTATTATTAATTAGTGAAGCTGCAAACAAACCGATTAACTCTAAAATATAAAATAGAAATACACTGCATCGAATAATATTCGTATTTTTATTCGTAAATTCATAGAAAGTGAGTACTAATAATATTAAAACTTTTCCTCTTTAGATGAGATTCTCGCTGTGGGATTTCTTTAATTCGATTTCTTGCAGAATATATTTAAAGTCGGCTCGAGTTTTACGAAGATTTCACAAGAATCCCCAGAGATATACTCTGGTATCAATAAATGGTGCTTAGAAATCTGGGATTTATTTTCATATATTGTGCACAAAATGTAGCAAAAGCAAGCTTTATTCAAAGAGGTTCGTACATGTGCACACATGCTTTCGTCGCTAAAGCCAGTCGCTCGGAAACTTTTTGCCGAAATCATTGAAAAAAGGTTACCGTGAAGTTCAAGAAGATCTATGCATTAACTAACCGATTAGACCACTCGCGACGACGACTCAACGGTATACGGAGCTTGGGATATTGGATACTCGCGACGCAAAGATAAAGTATTAATCTCGAAGATTTAAGTTGACTTATATTTCGTACACCTAAATCTTTCAAAGGGCATACTCTTTCAAAAGTACTTAGGGCGTCAGCTTGTTATAAAATTTGTATCGAAAAACAATATTTTCGCTTAGCTACTTTTCGTTAAGCCCCTAACGAAATCCTAAACGTAAAACTTTCACATTTTTTGCTTCGAGACATGGTAAAATTTGTAAGTAATGGCTAAAGTGACCATCTCTTACCTGATCTTAAAAAAAATAGTCTTCAAAAATATTGAGGCAAAATGAACGTTTAAAAAAAAATAATTTAATGAAATAAAATGGAACAACTTTAAATTAGATAAGTATATTATTGTTTAATTCTATAAGTGTAACAGGTGTTATTATATTAAAAATTTCTGTCAGAGCTCACTCTTGGCTTATCAACTTTAAAAATAAAAATCTCATTAGAATATTTGTCCGCGACGAACATGTTTTGTACACCCTAACTCGAAGCTTTACTATTCCGAAGGCTTCTCCGCAAGCATTCATTATTCGCGACAGACGAGCAAGTTGCCGGGTTTTTTACGCTGAAACTTGTTTTATTAAATCCCCCTTGAGCATCTTCCTGCTAACGTAAGCCTTCGGGAGAGCCTCCCTCTCCCCAGGATACGTTTCAGGTCATAAAATTCAGACCGAGACTTTATTACTGACAAAATTTACTGAAAATTTTAAATGGAGTCTTTAGGCCGATTCAATATTATGAAATTCTTTCTTTTTAATCATAAACTTTAGTTTGTTCTTGTGTTACTGGTGGAGAAAAAGGAAAAAATATCGTTTTCATTTCGGATCGGGAGTTTACTATTTAGCTATTACCTAGGTATAAGGTAAAGGACATAAGTAAAGTGTTAAATAGACCACTAGAAATGTCTTTGCAAATGACACTAGTTGCTATCTATTCCCTCGGGTAAACAGTTCGGATGATCATTAAAATATACCTCAACTTGTAGACTGTCTTTTATTAGTCGTAGACAGTTCTAGTTATTGGTTTTTGACTTGAAAGTATTTTACGTTTTCAAGAAATAAACTTAATTTTAAATCTGTTATCCATCGTTCCCAATGTCGAAACACTTGTATAAAACGTTTAATGCCTCTCATTTAAAAAAAATATTACTTTGTTACAATACTAGTATTACGGCGGTGATTTTGATTATTTTTGTTTTTTAATTAAAAAGATCCAAGTACCTTACATTTGTCGAACAAAGACCATTAATCTTTATAAGCCAGAGCCGTAAGCGATTTCGATCGTTGGACGAATTAATGCCAATTAAGCGATACCTCTAATTGCTTTAACAGAAAAATGGTCTGGAATTACTTACAAAATTGGAATCTCGAAAATCTCGAAACACGTTAAATTCTTACTTTAGGTTTTAAATTTCCAAACTCTTTTATATAAAAGTAAAGTTTTAGATATAAATATACAGATTTTAAATTATATTTTAAACAACATAATTTACCTCAGTCTTTTGATATAAATATTATATGTAGATGTTTGTTGGTTTGTATATGAATGTAATTAATGTTCAAATAGGTGTGTTATATTGATTAATATGTCAAAGCTATCCAATATCTGACTAGAAATAGTCAATTTTCCAGCGCAACGAGCCATGTCAACTATCATATTGATATGTCAAGAGACCGACTATTCGTATGTCGCCGTAAACATGGTTTTGTCCGAAAACATTCATGTGTTTTATACCACATTTGTAACAATCTTACTTCTTACTCTTATTAGTGTTATAAATGCAAATGTTTAGATAGACGGATGGAAGTTTGCAGATATGTCAAACAAAACGAAACGGCTCAATGGATGTCGCTGAAATATGGCATAGGTATAGACCAGTCTGGAATAAAACATAGGCTACTAATTTTTATTTTCATTCTACGCTGACGGAGTGGCTGGTGACAGCTAGTATAAGTATATATCAATATAAACCGTGTTGATGTCCACGAATATTATGGCAGGCCGAAATATTATCAGCTTATATTTTATTCAGCGTACTAAATCCCCTGAGGATTTTAATCCAGTGCCGAATAAATGAGTGACGTTATTACATTCCCATCAATAACATGTCGCCGCGTGTAGACGTGAGGCGGATTTTAATCTGGTCATATAGATTGGATATTAAATATTCTGAAATATTTAACATCCAATCTAATATTTTTATAATATTTATTAGGGGTAAATGTAACACTGTGATTTTTTTACGCTTTTGTCAAATATCTCGTATCACGTACACGTATGTTCTTAATAGTTTACGAGTAATACATACATAATATTATATAAAGATTTTTATTTGTTCATACTTCATTACTTGATTCTTAGGGTTCTCTTGTCATAGGGTTCGTTGTACTTTGGCATGGTGAGATCAGAAAAACATAAGCAGATCTGTGACAAAAAAAGGTTCGATAGTAATGTATTTGGTTTGCAGGCTATGCACATTGCGTGTGACGCGGCTGCGAGTCTGCGGCGCGTTGGGCGAAGCGGGCGGAGGCGCGGCGGGCGGCGCAGGGGCAGGCGCAGTCACGCTGGCGGCGCGAATGCACAGCAGCAAGCGCACGCTCCGCTCCAACGACATTGCTGTGCCGCCGCTCGACGTCGAGCTAGACCTCTGCTTCTCATTGCAGTATCCGCACTTCGTCAAGCGCGATGGCAACAGGTAGGCGTACCATAGAGTAGACACACGCAAACACAAGCAATAAATGTCATAGAGTAGGAACACAGACTCGACACATACAAACTTTAAATCTTTATTCAAGTAAACAGTAAACGCTCGTATCTTCCTGTCTATAGTCTGGTCTCCTATCTACGACTAGACTAATTTTGTATATAGTGAAGTATCGTTTAATTTGTATATTTCTCCGGTATCACGGAAGTGTACAGACAGACGTCAGTGGTACGCTTTAAAAATGTTACATATAAATAAATCAAACATTTCTAATTAAATTAACGTAAGGTTCATAGGTTACATCCCAAGTGCTGAATATCCAAGCAAACTTTTGTGAAAACATAGCATGATAATTTCCCGGGCAACCGTGACACTATACAGACGGACACGCTCATAAACCAGCAGTAAACCTCTACAAATAGAAAATAGCGCTTTGGTACAGCACTGAAAGCTGACCATAAGCTGCCCGCTATTACGATTGATTACGTGGACGTCCGCCACAGCCACAGTACATAAAAGTAACACCCCGTATATAAATCTGTTTAAATGTTGTACATTAATTGACATCTATTTGTTAATAATAAAGCTATTTTAATATCAATCAGTAAAATTAGTACTATTATCATTCTCAGATTGCAAATAATGCTTCAAAGGCGCAAGAAATACAAAAATCGCACAATACTCGGCTACAAGACTTTGGCTGAAGGCGTCATTAGGATGGATCAGGTATGCTTTAACACTTAAAGTTTCCACTGCAGAAATATACGTACAATATCATAAAATCATGTCTCCAAACAGTCTCCGTAGAAGCCTTACACCGATAATAGTATGTTTTAAACGAGGATATTGGTATCAAAAACCCACGATAATTGAAGCAAATCCAACCGTACTACGTAACGATTACCTTCACATTGATGTCGTGTGAATCATTTTATCAACACCCATCGCTCAACAGTTCTACTCCATTAAAGTTATGAACGACAATTTACTCGCGACGATAGTTAAATCCTACGAATTAGGTTCTGTTACAACTCACCTTTATTTAAGAGAAAGGTTTCTTAGGCTAAGCTACTATACAATTTACGGATTTAGGAAATTAATGATAGTTGAACTAACATTAAATCGGAGTAAATCCATTGCGTGTTTTGTTATAAAGCTTTATATCCCCCAGGTGCTACAAAGATCAATGGATATGGAACTGGAGCTGACTGGCGTAGGAGGCAAGGTGGGTGCTGCGGCCGGACAGCCGGTTGCTCGTCTTACCATCACCGGTCTCGCCTCCACGCCTGTCGACCATGACACTAAGAACAACAACACGCTGCTCATCACCGGTCAGTTGTAACCTTTTGCCTTATAATATCCTAGTACTTTTGATACCAATGTCTTTCAACCATCGTGCTGTATTGAAAAAAAACAAACCCATAGTTTCATAAACTTTGTTCACAATCTTATAATACTCTAAATGTGAATGTATGGATGAATATATGTTTGTTTGAAGTTATCTCCAGAACGGCTCCGTGAATTACGCTGAAATTTGGCATAGATTTTGAACATAGTCAGGAAGAACACATATATCGGACGGAATCGCCGGCGACAGCTAGTGTATTGTTTTTAATGGCATTTAATTATTTATATTATACTTATCATGGCTAAATATATCTTTAGGTATGAAATTAGTTTGTTATGTCATAAAAATTGTATAAAGCGAAAATAATAATTATTATTTAACCTTGTAGATATTTTAGCGCAGTTTTAACTGCGTCTCATTAAAATGCATATCTGCTTTCAAAAGGATGTACGCGCGTTTGACGCTCTAATTTTAAAAGCGACGGTTGCAAAATGTATACAACTTATGATACTCATCCGTGTAGCTCGGAACACGTACGGCTTAAATACTTAGTATTTACGTATTTACTTATTGTCGTAGCTACTAAGAAATTAAATCGAAATTTAATAAAAAAATTAAAAGGCAATATTTCAAAATAAATCGTTAACCTAGCTATCGTCGTCACCGCCCGCGCGGTATTAAAAAAAATCTTTAAGTCTATGACCGTTCTTCTAGACTATGTTCTATATTTGAAGATATCACCTGACATCCATCCATCTTTTAAAAACATTCGCATTTGTAATATTCGTAGATTTAACACTTTAACTGCCAACGAGTTTATTTCAATAGAAAAAGGTAGCGGTATGAAAAGTGTTAGAATTGCTTCAATATTATATAATTAAAAACATATTTTACTTGACAATTTAAATTGATTACAGAGAGGGGTTATTCTGATGAAGAGGAGGAGGGTGAATTCAGTTCTGTTGAGGAGGCGGACGAGATGACATACGGCGCACCAGCCAGGCGTCGCCCTCATCGACAGATTGAATTCAATAAGGCTGATATGTCATATACTAAGGTTTGTCAACATATACACAGGTTTTAAAACTCATCACATAATTAACGAGATATCAAACATATAGTATAGCTAGATTTTTATATGCAAAAGTCTCATTCTCATAAATTGACTAGTAATTTAATCTCTTGTAGTGTCATTTTAATTAATTTATTAATATATAGGTTGTTTATATATGTATATCTTCTATATATATAAAAGAAAGTCGTGTTAGTTACACTATTTATAAGTCAAGAACGGCTTTACCGATATGCCTGAAAATTGTTGAGGAGGTAGCTTAGAGCCAGGAGACGGACATCGGACTATTTATTCATTTTTTTCTTCGAATTTTATTTAACTTACTAATATTATAAATGCGAATGTTTAGATGGATGTGATGTGGATGGATGTATGGGTACATAATTGAGTTTTTTATATATCCACGCAGACGGAGTCGTGGGCGACAGCTAGTAGTACCTATATGTTATGAACGAGGTGGCACGAGGCTGCTATGTATGACAAAGTTTTAATAAGGCTTCCTCGCGAATGGTTTCGAGTTCTCAAACTATGTTAATTAAAAATATACGCAAGAATAAATTTATATTTGACACGACATTTAAAATTAAAGATAGATTTTTTAAATGCACCAAATAATATCTACTTGGCTTCATATCGGAGGTTGTCAAGTTTTAAATATGTTTTTTTCTTAGATTTAAAAAGCGTTTGTTTTTACACTTGTAGATTTTAGCTATGTTAGTAGCATTAAAAGTTATAAGAATTAATTTTTTAAAGTAATTCATTAGCTAGTTAGGCTATATTGAATGAGCTGACCTATAAATAGACAAAATATTTATATACTTATTTATAATTAAATTATTTATATGATAGACTATGCTAATACAGAGTAACATAGTCTGCTTGTGCTTCAGCTTACAACATAGCATTGCTTTGCCCAGCTCTCTCGGTCACGTGACATGAGCTACGCGGAGCGCGAGCGAAAGAGACACAGCTATGCGCGCTCCAAGTTGCACGACAGAGACAGCGACAGCGAGCTGGAGAGCGCGGCCGCTAAGCGCAAGGGCAGCCGCGGGAAGCTCACGGTGAGCTCCCGCCATACGACATTGTACTGTGCGCCCTTTGTCGTAGAGATAGTTTTTGTTTATCGTACTTTATGTCGGAAAGCTCATGGTGAGCGCACGTTATACAAAATTTTACTTTATAGTGTTGGTCGTAGAGTTGGTTTTCGTTTAATGTCTTTAGGGAAGCGCACGGTCAGTTCCTGCTTCACGACATTGTACTTTGTACAGTTGGATGTAGAGTTGATTTTGGGTTGGAATTTCTAATATCTGATAGTGAGATCCTGCCACACAATATTGTACTTTATCTCTAGTAGTTGTAGAGTTGGTTATTGTTCCTTTGTTGGTGTTAGTGTATTAGTTCTTTGGGTCAATACTCTATTCCGTAGATTTATATTACTAAAATATTGTTTCCTATATATTATTGCATGCAACTCTAATTTCTTGTATGAAACACTATGAATATATTTACTAGTACTTTTAAATAATTAATATTTACGTATCGTTTTAATTATCATCTTTCATACTGCATGATACTAACAATTTTATGTATATATACAATTTTTTTTTTAAATGAGTACCAAATTTCTGGTATGTTTATAACATGTTTGTTGTTGGTTTACACTTTTCTTTGAAACATGTACAAGCAAATCTTTCCTCTATATGTCAACTTTCTTATCTATTTTAAGCTATGATAAGAATCTCATTTGCTTTATGACAGTCAACAACAGTAAGACTGTGAAGGTTGTGCAGTGACGTCACGTTAAGCATACACTGTGATAGGTGTTCGGTAGCTTATCTCTGCTTTCTATGGGATTAGATGAGCTGCTAACGAGACCTAATTCCGCACTCTTCAGTTTAATATGGAGGTAACACTATAGTTCTACTTTAGTGCTCATAATTAGGTGCGTGATTTACCGTGAGTTTCTGAGACTAAAATCTCTGTATGAATCATATCGTCATCTCTGTCATTATTTTTGATAAAACAGAGATATCAATATGTTTTCAGCGGGGATTTTGGACTGAGAAACACGGGCACAGTGCGGAATTTAAAGTTTTATTACCATGGAGGTAGATGATAGTTTAAGGGTTGTAAGGTGTGTGTGGGTGTCAGGATTCTATAGTGTATATGTTTGTTGTACAGCAACGCAACTTGAAGCAGAAGTTCGCAGCGCTGCTGCGTCGGTTCCGCGTACCTGAAGAGCTGGGGGAGCGCGGCGCGGCGCGAGACACGCATCACGCGCAGAGAGACATCGATGAACTCTTCCAGGTAAGTTGAGAGTGCAGCACTCATAGACATTAAATATCTACTAAGTATACTGCCTTAGTTTAGTATTAGAAGCATTATCTTTACGACTTACGAATAAAATAAGAGATATTTATTGTTTTTTTTTTGTTATATTCATGATGTTATACGTTAACGCATGTGCTTGTCTGTATCTTTTCAGGAGCTGGAGTCTCTTTCGTGTGGTGAAGGTGAAGACTCCGGTCCTGACCAGATGGACACGATCAGTATCGGATCCACCCCGAAGCCCTCGCTGCGGCCCTTCTTCAGCAGCTCCCGGTCTTTGGCCAACCAGGACCATCACAGGCACTCTAATGGTAACACAATACGACATAAACGTATAATACATGTTATTAGATTACTAGTAATTTGATCCGGATTCGCTAGGAGATATGAATAATTCAAAAATATATAGCCTGACATTCGCAAATAAAAGAGCTTCTTATTGGCAAAAGAATTTTTAAATTCGGTTTAGTAGTTTTCGAGTTTAAAGTAAACAAAAAAACTATTGGAAACGGAAGATTCTTTACAGTTGGACATTATTAGCTGATTTTCTAAACCACAAATTGGAAATTAGTTTAGTTAAATTTTTATCTTAATGATCTATTTCAAAATAATAAATTCTCGAGTCATTTTGCTTACGTTATAAGGGATGATGTTTTAAGTATAACAAGGTAAGTTTAGTTAACGCATTAACATATGCACATAAAGTTTGACGCATAGCTATAGAAAATAAATGTTTAAATATATGAACGTGTAATAAATTGCCTGAGCATACACTGAAAACAGTGCATTGTATTGCTTTCATTATAATTTGCATAGTTAACAAAAACATTAAGCATTGTACAAACTGGATAGTATTTAACAGTTTATGTAATCGATAATTTTTTTTGTTTTCGTTATGTAACGCTGTGTGTATAGTATAGTTTAAATGAACGAGACGAGAGAGCGATTACTTGGTCCTTCGAGCCTGATACCTTATATTCAAGTTTATACTAACTAACTACAGCAATTTTATACTTTAATTATAATCTTATAATTTAGTATAATAAATTGCATAATACTACCTCTTTAAATAACGATTTGAAGTATGTATCAGGTTCTAAAATGGTTGAATTTGTTGTTCTACCCTATTGTGGATTCCCCCACCACTCTCTCGTCTCGTTCGCACGTAACGTGTGCGGCGCATGCGCAGTGACGCGGCACGCCAGTCTCGCGTCGGCCGCCGAGCTGACCACACCGCGCGACAAACTGCTGGCCACGCTGCCGCTTACAGGTACACCATAGGCCTCGAATGCATGTAATTTTAAATTAATTATAAAACGTGACTCAATATTGATTACATTAGAATTTAATGAGTAAGTATTGGGTCTCGTTTTATAACAGCCGAATTATAAGTTAATAATTTTATTTAAACCTAACTTTCATGTTTTTATAATCTTGATCATTGCATCTTGTCGTGATCTGGCTTTTGTCTGTTTTCTCGTTCAGTTCTCTAACTTGTATGCTTATTTGCTTTAAAGCATGTTTATTTAGCGTTAATTTTATGTGACGTTTTTATTTAGTTTTCTACTATGCCGTGAAATCACCTCTGCAATTTCTAATGCTATCTGTTCAAAGTATCAACCAACACCTGGTCTATCTTCATTTTTTTTGTTTTCTGGTCGATTTTATTGTTACCTAAAGTATTATAAACTTTAAGTATATCTTCAATTCTTAAAATTGTAAACAACGAGTTAATCTGTGGAGCACCGATGCAGTTATACCAATTAAACCTACAAGAAAGAACTAAATAACATAGCTAAACATTGTTTAAATCTAGGTTATATTATTAAGTAGCTGTCGCCCGAGAATCCGTGCGCGTGGAATTAAAAAAAACTTAATAAGTAGCCTATGTGTTCTTCTAGACTATGTTCTATATGTATGCCAAATTTCATCAAGATCTGTTCAGCCGTTCTGGAGAAACTTTGAAATAAACATTCATCTAAACATTCGCATTTATAATATTAATAAAATATGAAAAGTGCTGATGCTTATATGCTCCTACTTCAAGCTGGAAATTCCAAGGTTTGGTTGTGGTATCCTTGTGTTGTGATCCAATATAGAATGAGTTCCGTATGATGACAGAGTCGGAGGCGATGCGCAGTTCTGCAGGTGACGAGCGCGGCAGTGAAGGCAACAGTGACGCTGATGCTGCGCTGGACCCGCCAGTCTCCGGTGCCTCTGTGTCCAGCTCCCCGCCAAATGATACCAAGGTAAAAGATTAGCTATAAGATGGTTCTTGCTTTGTTAATTAATATACTAAAAGACTGCGACTTTGTTCGCGTGGAATTAAAAAAAAATTAGTAGTCTATGTGTTCTTTTAGACTATGTTCTACATCTGTGCCAATTTTCAGCCAGAAATATGCAGCCGTTCTAGAGATACCTTCTATTAAACATCTATCTATCCATCAAAGCATTTATAATATTAGTAAGATTATTTTTTTTTAGCAAGGAACGGCTTCTTGAGATTGTAAAATAAAAAGCGAAGTTCTTCTAGTGTAGTGATCAATTTGAAAGATTAAACAGCGTGTTATGTACGTAGGAGGAGAAGCGGTCGCGTCTGTTCCGTAGTGCGACTAGTGGCGGCAACCTGACTCCGGCCGCGGCCGCTGCGCGCAAGAAGAACTCTCTCGCAGCTGCCGAGCGACCGCTCTCCGCGCACGACCTGCCCGCACAGAGCCCCACCACCACTGAGGTACAGCACGAACCTGATTTTTTACTTACTACTAAGCATTTTGCAAATTTCAAAACATGTACTTTCAGAGAAAAAAATCATAAAGCAATAAAATATAAGGTGTGCCACAGTACATTTTTTCTTAAATTTACAATCGAATTGACGAACAATGCATCTGTAATTATGGATGTTTAAAGATAGCTTTCATTATTTCGTCAAATCAGCTCCTTGCTTTTTGGCACTTTAAAATATGAGAAAAGCCGAGTGATATAGCGAATGTTTGGTTATGTATTTAATCTGTGCGGTGTACAGCCGCGGCGCACGCTGGTGGAGCAGGTGGGGCGCGTGCTGGGCGAGGAGGGCCCGGTGCCGGAGTGCGTGGCGGTGTGCGGTCCCGCCGCCGCGCTCGCGCTGCAGGCGCTCGCCGTGCCCGCGCTCGTCCTCGCCCCGCCGCAAGTACCCGACGTCCGCCCCCTGCTGCAAGCTATATACGCCAGGGCCGTCAAACAGTCAGTGTTTAACTCTCTTATCTTAAACCAATGTTAAATAAAGTATCGCACACATTAGAAAGAAATTAATTTTTGTTTTAGGAAACCGTAAATTCACAATTGAGTTGATATTTACATTTATCTATAAATATTTTAAAAATTTCTAGCTGCTGTCCGCGAATCTGTTTGTACGCAATTAAAAAAATTTCAATTTTCATCGAGACCCGTTTAGCCATTTTGAATATACCAACATCCATATATCCATCCAAACATGCACACTTATAATATTAGTAAGATAAATAAATAGTGAGCTATATTTGTGACATAATAAAAGTGAATGTATGTATGTATGTGCAGGAGTTCTCGTCGTGCGTGCGTGCGCGTGTGCATGTGCGGGGGGGAGGCGGCTGCGGCGGCGGCTCTGCGCGCGCACGCCGAGCTGGCCGCGCGCCGCCCGCACGACGCGCCCAACATGCGCTTCTACATCGTACCTATAGGTCTCATACTAACATAATCTTATTATCATCTGTACTACTGTACGTGCAAAATATACTCGTACTTAATGCAAAAATAAATTCCAGCTTGATACCTTCGCGCGGTTCTAACAAAAAGGGTCTTGACAGACAGACGGACCACAAAGTAATCCTATAAGAGTACCTCACAGGAAAAAAGCAGAAACCTTATAGGATCACTTTGTTGTCCGTTCGTCTGTCCGCCAAGACCCATTTTTTCTATGAGGTACGGAACCCTAAAAACATTGTTTTAATAGGATTAAATATTTGAATATGTTATGGTAATTGACCACAGGCGTTCATAAATATACGTAACAAAGGAAATGCAAACCTTTTACTTATTATGTTATGTGGTTTATACATTTCAACCTTATAGTTATACTAGCATTCGCCCGCGACTCTGTCCGCTCGGGATTACAAAAAAAAATATTTTTAGTCTATGTGTTCTTCCAGACTATGTTCTACCACTATGCCAAATTTTAGTATGATTGGTGCAGCCGTTATGTTGTAATAAACATTTATCCATCCATCCATCCATACATTATGTGTAGGTGCGTGTACGGTGTCGCGGTACCTGGCGGCGTCAGACAGCACGTACGCGGCGCTGTTCGCTGCGGACACGTGGCCCGCTATCTGCGACCGCGCTGCTGAACACTCCATGCCTGACATCGCCGAGATGTCCTCCAGGATCGCCAGGTAACACCACTCTGTCCCTCACCTAACTAACCTTAGGAAGAAAATCCGACACTGTGCCGGTGTACTGGCGCAACTCTAGCATTACTAAAATCTCAACGTTTATGGCCCCTCACTAATCATTCTGACACTGGACTTGATAACCAAAGCGCGTCTAAAACTGTTAATTGGTAAATTGATTACTTACATATTTCTGAGGCAACGTAAATAATTGAAACTAATATTATGCGCCAATATTATTAGCCATGCGAGCGACTTTTTGACGACGACAGAATATTACGTAAGTTGCCTAGCGACTAAAATCGCTGGGTTTCGAAGATTTACGTTGCCTTGTGTAGGCTATGTAGGTAGTGAGATAGTGTAATGTGATAGTTGTCTGTGTTCAGGTACTTGAACAGTGGAGGTGCGGTGAACAATGTGCCAATTGGCGAGGCGATGGTGGCATGCCGCGACCGCGCCGGCGAGGATGACTCCAGCCAGACCTTCGTGCCCTTCATCGCGGTCAGTACATCTATAGCGCACTTGTTTGATCATACTCTGTAGCACTAACATTTGTAAATGGACAAGCTATAAGATGTGGTATTTTGTGCCTATCTGATTGTAGCGTATTTAACTGTCACGTAACATCAATATGCGTGGGTAGATCTGAAGGGAACAAAAACTGTCATTTTCAAGTAATCGCCTATCCATTTATTAAGAGCAGTCCCTTGTAGTCATCTATTATTACGTTTCCACCTTTTAAGTAACATTATGAATGTATGTTCTGTTTGTGTGTAGGAGGTGCGCGTTGGATGTGGTGAGGGCGGGCCTTCGTCGCTGGAGCTGGAGGAGGGCGGGTCCCCGCCCGCGCGGCCCTCGCCCCCCGCCACGCCCGCGCCTGACGTAACCCCCGTGCAGCCCCCACTCCTGCCGCACCTGCCCCATCTGCTCCACACACCCAACCTGCCCCCACAGGAGCTGCAGCTTGACTATTGGCTGGTGAGCATCAACAACTCACATTACTAACTTTAAATAATCGCTTTCTCCGAGACCATATTTAAATAGGTCGACTATAATTATAGTTCTTTTCAAATATCTTGACTCCCCCGTATCCCTTTACCTCTCCGGTACACTTAACATTGTGTTCTGCGCAATAACTTGCGCAAAGTTAAGAGCCGCAAAGATATCTAAAAACTACACAATATCTTCTCGTACATTACAATTTACCTGAATGGAGCTGCAAGGCGAGTCGGTATAAGCTATATTAAATTTAACTAGGCAATTTTGGTAATATCTACCCTGTTAGAGTAGGGTAGTGTGTGCGTGGTGTTGCATGGTAGAGATGTGTGTGCAGGTGCCGGGGCGCGCGGCGGAGGGCGCGGACGGCAAGGTGACGGTGAAGGCGACGTTCCGCGCGCTCGTCGTGACACGACACAACGCGCATCTCAGCATCACTTATCTCACCAAGGAGAAGAAACAGAAGAGTCAGTATTACATCTCTCATATCACTTCACACTTGACGGGGGAAGGAATGTATAGAAAAAAGAATATTCGTTTATATACGTCCCCTCCTCTGTTAATGCAAGATAATAATTTTGCAAATGTCTATATAAAGTGTTCATTTTCCTATTCTAGTAAAATCCGATAGCCGGTTTCTAAGATTGTTTTTTACTTTGTATATTTTGTTTGCAGTAATGCGATTGGGCAAAAAGAAGGAGAAATCAGAGCCGGAGGTGGGACGTGCACAGACTGTGGAGGGCGTGGCCAGACTCATCTGTTCCGCCAAGGGTTCGCACAACGCGCCGTTGAAAGGTAAATCTTATTTATATTTTCTAAAACTTTTGTTACAAAGCTTTTTATCTTTTTGACCCTATTTTTGTAATATAAATATGTGTCTTATTATTTACAGTATTTATTGATGGCACGGAGTGGAATGGCGTCAAGTTCTTCCAGCTGTCGACGCAATGGCAGACACACGTGAAGACGTTCCCCGTGGCGACCTGTGGAGCGCCCCTCGCCCCGCCCGAGACTTAGGCCACTCCCATGACAACTTAGGCCACGCCTCTCGCCCCGCCCATACTGACGGGCGGCGCGCCATTGGTGTAAATCCAGCATTAACAGCCAGAGGCCGCATAGTGCTGCACTACGGATGTATCCGACATTCCCAATCTGAACGGATAAAAATATCCGCAATAGTACAGTCACGGCTTAATAACGGATACGTATCCGTACAACATTTCGCTGTACGCTCTTAATATTAATCGATGTCTAATATATTGTATAGAATTAAGGATTCGTTTCCAATATTTGACGCTACTGGTAGCGCGTAGTTAGTGGCCCGTTTTTTATGTGTTAGCGAATCCGATCCTTACCCCTTACGCAGTAAGGTCGTAATTCCTTAGTCATGCATGCTATATATTTAATATATGAACGTGGTAAGATTTATTCAAGCTGTATAAGAAAGGCTCAATCGCGTTAACTATTTCATTGTAGTCATTAGTTAGCGGTTAGAGTTTGGTCGAGTTAAGGCATATATATGTACTCAATGTATCAGTTGTAATGGTTCGTGACATTTCCAATATGTGTGTAAGTTAGAATTTAGGGATGGTCCTGTGTTTAAAGATAAAGTATCGATGTTTTTTTTTGCTATGGCGATGTTTTTTGTGATTATTAATCGCTACAACTTGACAGTTTTATATGATAACCGAAATTTTTAACTTTTTAAAGCTTTCAATTTGTTTGGTCATGATGTCTTCGTTGAAATAGACATTTGACACATAAGCAACTATTATTAATTTTTACTTATTTAGCAATCAAAAAACATCGATATTTATGTTTCAGTTTTTATCGATATTCTGAACATATGGACATCCCTAGTTAGATTATGTATCGGAAACAAAACCGAATTTTGCGGAGTATTGTCGGCACATATCAATAGGTTCGTACTCGTACCGGGATAGTGCGGTTTCTGTTGCGTTTATCTGTGATTATCGATGTTTTAGTTTGTCCGCTAGAGCACTCTGATTTCGATATTTTATTTATCTTATTTTTAACTCGAATTATATACAAAGAGCATCAAACTTCTTTCTTATTTTATGCTGCTTCAAACATTTTATTTTTCAGAAAATATTAGGCAGCTAAATTTGCATAAACGAATGCGATACGATAATCAAATTGTTAAAGTTTTCGTCAACAATAAATTATAAAATATATTAATCTTTATATATATTGAAATGTACGGCTTCTCTGGACCTAAAGCAAAATACAATAAAGAGTTTCAAAAAATTATATTTATCAATGCAATTTTGAACATTTTTGATATTTTGCAAGAAATGTAAACTTGAAATTCCATGCGTGACACATCGTATATGCGCGCCAAAAAAAATCAAAATGGCGGCCGCGAACATTGTATAAATAAAACACCAAATATTCTATAAATGTTTTCAAGTGTTTGAATGTAAAAAAAAAAAACTTACTGTTTTGTGAAGAAGCATCGAATATTCAGTGATAGGAAAACAATTTTTAAAAAATAATGCGTATTTAATGTTTGTCTGTAGTGCTATTACTTCCTATATGTATATCTCTATGCAATTTTCAATTTTTGAATTAAAATTAATTCCGAGCCAATCTTGGAGCCTTTGTGTTGCAAATGATAATTATGTAAATTAATATCGTGCCAAAAAAATTAACGATTAAAAATTCTCACACAATTGATACTTTCAGATTGTCTTGCGTTTACAACCAGTAACAAAATGGTTGTCATAAATTATTTTATTTCCAAAAAGAACACGATAGTTTTGGTGCACTTCTGGTGCTTAACCAGTGACAGATTTATATGATATTAAAAGGTGATTTTCTATTAAAATAAATGGTGCTGAGTGCACATTTTAAATATTCGAGGTCTAGTCTTATTCGGTGTGCGTTGTCTGTAACAAATGCTAGATGCAAAATGGTAGTTAAAAAATGTATAACATGGTTTAATTTGCATGGACATAAAATTGCTATTTTTTTTTAAAAGGTGTTAGTGACAATGAATTGTTCGGCACAAATAATTTGTGTAAATGTATTTATTTACGATTATCCAGAAAAAAATTAAATGAATTGATAATCATTTATTGATTTGTGTTAATTTCATTGATTATATTTAGGTTATTTTACATTTTAAATCGCAATAATATTTTAGAAGTCTTCTTTAAGTTTTTTTAAAACATTTGAAGGCAAAAGATAATGTATTCCATATTCCGCCATGTGTTTATTGAAGCTTGTTTAGTGCCATTGTAAATTTTGGCAAATTAAATGATAATTATTATGAAAAGGAGCTCAAGTTTCCAATAGTTATTGTAGGGGCCTAGCCGACAGTATGTTATGTAATTTGTATATTCATATTGTAGTAGTTTGTAATGGAATTGTAGAGAATATATTTTGTGTTTATAATTTGATCTCAATAATGCTGACTGATTTGGCAATGTATCTTTTTTTTTTTAATTTGATAGCTTATTATAATGGGTTATGCTATAGCAACATTTTTTATTTGATATTCAATGCAATAAAATAAAACTAAGCTATTAATTGTAATTTGTCATATTATTAAATGATTTTTATTTAGTTTAATTTAAGTCGAATAAATTAGTACAAAAAATAATTATTAATATTTCTTTACTTTTTTTTCATATTTATATAAAACCCGAGTTTTATTAAAATAGTGCAATAAATGTATTGTAACTTTATCATTCAGTTTATTTATGTTGCATCTTGACATTTGACATGTACTGACATATTACAATTAAATTGATGAGATTTATTATTTTTATGATAAGTTGCAAGTATGATTTTGTATTTATTGTAAACATAAAAATTTTGCATTAAAACATATTTTTTATTTAATATTCACAACATTCCAATAAATAAACAGACAATAAATCAACATTCCTAATAATTAAATATTATCTTAAAAGTATATAAAAGAAAATACAATAGTATAACACGAGAAAACACCAACAAGTTACCCTAATATACTAATAGTTAATTCTGAGACCAAAGTCTGTGTATAAATCATATTCTCATCCCTCATTATCTTTGTGAAAACAGAGGTAATAAAATTATGTTTCATATATTGATTTTAGTCTCAGAAACCCACAATAAAATGCTTATAGTTAAGTATACTTGAATAATAAAAATTGATCCCGCAACCCATTTTCTCCACCCAATCCTCCCTCCGGCTGGACGTATAACAGGCCGTCTTTAGCCTTCTTTGGACAGAACTCCCATAAATTCATGTTACTTTTATATAGGCCATCTAGAGTCCAAGCAGCAACAAGCTTAGACTTTCCATGTCTGCATAAGACATAAATATTGCTAGGGTCAGACATGTATTCCACTCCAGGGTCCTTAATAATTATAATGCCACAAACTAGAGCCCAGTGTGCTGTGTGCCCTTGTCTAAGGCAAGGTGAATGATTATGATCAGCATCATAACTGTTAGAAACATTAAGGAATATTAAAAAAAAACCTACAGAATTTGTATTTTCAAAGAATATGGTACTGGCAGATAGAATATTTTTTAAAAAGGATACGGAACTAATAAAATAGCACCATTCAATAATTCTTCAATTATTTCTTGACTATAAAGTCCACCTTTTTTTAAAGTACAGGTAATATTTTCCATTTCAGCCAAACTTAATACCTTCTCAGCTAATTTAGCCATATCTTTGCAACTCAACATCTCGCCATTATTGCTGTATCCAAAAAATTTACTGAGATTTAACAGTTCTTCTGGCCCAACTTCTCCCCTAACAAACATTGACAAAGCTACCAAACCACAAGTCGGCCCTTCCTGCAGTATATATTGAAAATGTTTGTATTTATAACGGAAAGGTGCACGAGTCAGGCATATTTGATATGTTATGCACGCTTTCCTTAAATCTAATTCTGAAGAAGCCCATTCACAGATACTTGGATCTTCAGATATTTCATTAGATTTGTCGGATTTAAATTTGCTTTCGGATGTTAGAGGTGGCGGGGGTGGTGGGGGCGGCGGTGCTGATGATGGTGGTGTTGTGCACATTATGATTTATGATATGATCTTAATAAATAAAAATTACATTATTTTGTAACCTATTTTCTAAAGTCGCAAAATGACATTGACGTTACACCAAAGGTGAACGAACTTTAAGGGCTGTTGATCAATATTTTAACCGTTTTTAACTGTTACTACAACTTAAACCGTTAAATTGTAAAAAATGTGTTTTGCTAAAGTTACCTATATAAATCACTTTTAAATTACAAACAAAATAACGTTATTGCTTATACCTAGAGATAAAATTTAAAAAGAGGCAAAGGTAAAAGCTCTTTTTCTCATATTAGTATCATCATCATCATCTCTCACTATACGTCCCCACCGGGGGGCTCGGAGCCTGCCCTAAGTTAGGGTGATATATACATACAGGTGACATATTAGTATAAATTCACACATTCCTTTATGCAATTTTAATTCACTTTATCTCATTTTCACAAAATGTCAATTTTACTGATGAATGTGCCGTTTATATTTTTTCAGAATTTCAAAAATAAATACCAACATATTTTGGTACATCACTATTAACTACAATTTTCGCGCTACTGAACTAAAAAAAAAACCAAACGGGTTTGCGGAGTGGAGGGGAGTGGGGCGTGAACAGTCATTCATTGATCTTTTTCTTGGTCGTTCGTCGTTCATTCTCTGTCAAATTAAATTCAATTAACAGATGGTAGTGGCGTAAGACGGGTTTTTCTTACGGTAAATTATACCGCCATAATTACACGTTTCGAGGAAAGTGAAAGTTTATTTTTAACCTGGTAAACGTAAAAAGTTAATCATGTCCGAGTCTCGGAAAAATCATCTTATTATAGAAGGGAATCAAGGACGGGAAGCTGAACATGGCGCTACTTACAAGCCCATCCCTGAGAATGATACAGGTAATTATGGTTATTTCATTGTATTGCTAGTTTATTTATGTTTGTATTGTGTTCAAAATATATTAATGCACCCGACAATAATTTTTCTACAATAATCAAATTATCTTGTAATGACCTTGTACTATTTTATATTTGTTAATGACTATTATTTGTCTAGAGCTTAAGAAAAAACTCGTGAGCTTGTCTTCTCAGTAATTGTATATTTAAGAATTGAAATCTTATCAATATCACGTTATCATGTGGACGTTGACATTAACATGTCGGGGAAAGATGTCAAATGTAAAACGACCATTTTAAATGGTACCAATTGCTAAGGCTGAAAGAATTTGCTTTTCCTAAAATTCTATTTTTCATCAATTTATAACAATATAATTCGAAGATAACCGAATGAAGATTTTTTTAACTTAATATATGTTTAGTATTAATAATACCGGTTTAGAAAAATTTGAGTATTTTTTGCATATCAAAGCGACTTCTTCACATGGGCGGGTAATAAAGCGCTTTCATTGGACGAGCGTAGCTTCAGGCAGCGCCATTTTGTGCTTGTTCGCTGACTGATGCAATTTGCAAATACGTTTACGTTATTTTTTTTGTTTCGCATTGAAAATTGTTTAACAAATTGAAGTTTTTTTTATCTATAACTCCTTCAACAATATGATGAATCCTGGTATGATCCTTCTATTGTCGTTACTTGATTATTTATTATGAAAACCTATTTACTATTAAATGTACTATGGAGAACTTCCTCAATGATGTCTCATGTGAATGTATAAGATGCAACAGGATTTAAATTGACTCAATTGAATCATGAATGGGATGAATAATAAGGTCACTAAAAACTTATGAGAGAAAGGTGACTCCGGATTTTATTTTCAGCAACTGATGTAGAATACATTGAGGCTGACAGGGAGTACATGCAGTTAAACAAAAGGGAAATAATGGAGAGCGAGATAGCAGACGATGCAGATGATCACTGGGATCACAACAGCATAAGAATTATGCTAAACTTGTATATAGAGAATCTTGACAAATTTAGAAATCCAAAGATAAGAAAGAAAAATTTATGGTCTGATATTGCCAATGCTGTGGGCAAAAGTCCAGACCGTTGTAACAAGAAATTTAGAAATTTAAAGCAAACATATATTAGGTTACTAAAAAAGAAAAACAAGATTGGTATTTCGACCGTAAAATGGCCATATTTTGAAAGTTTCGAGGAGATATATTGTGTGGAGGGGGAATACCAGCCTGAGATTCAACAAAAACTGCAAGAAGGCTCCAATGAGAGTATAGCTAAAGCGTTACTATCAATAAGTTCTCCTTCAAAATTTGAAGATAGTCATGAAAATGGGGAAACATCTAGTGGACAAAATGAAGAAGTACGGAGAAGATTGACAAGGAAACGGAATGCAGAATTCAGAAAAGTTACGTTAGAAATTAAGGATAGGCAAAGATTGGTGGAAGAAAAATTAGATAGATTGATAAATATTGTAGAAGAATCAAATAATATTCAAAGAGAAAGGAATAAACTGTTTGAAGAATTTCTTGAGAAACTCAGGAGTTCTCATGGAGGTTGCTGAAGAGAACTTCAAGACAAAATTACAATTGTAAATGAATTTACATGTATATTTTATATAATCAGACATATTGTAGTTATCACTGGTGTAAATACATAGGATTTTAATAAATTTTTACATAAATAAACCAAAAATAATTAAGTTTTTTATTGTTTTACTGAATATTGTGATCAAACTTTTAAAACAATTGGTTGTCTATCGTTTAAGCATAATTGAAACGATAGAGATAGAAATATTTTACCTGAGTTTGCTGACATAGTCAATGACCTAGATATTTTTACAATTTGCTCTCCGGTGACTTAAGTGTGAAAGTTATTTAAAAAATACTTGTACAATAAATAACATAGTCATTAGTCTTTTCTAACACAATGAATGGTGATTTTTTTTAATTTCTTTTTTCTCACTGAGAAATAGATAAACTATATTTTTTACAAATTTATTTGAGATTGGTGTTGCAGATGAAAGTACTTTTACTTTTGCATTTATTATTTTTGTATTCAAAGGAAGAAAATACACGTCACCAAATCATTTTCAATTATAAGCATTTTGGTCAGTTATTTTTATTTCTCATAGCTTAGTTTTATAACATAACCAAGGAGCAACTCTTTTTACAGTGTTTTCATTTAAATACTTATTGTTTCCACTGTCATCTGTAATAAAAATATATTGTCATCACTTTCATTCTCTTTGAAAACAACAGAGATAACAATGTTTTTGTACGCATGTTTTGTCAATGGAAATTCACTAAGTCATGGTCAATGAAACAACAAAAACTTTGCATACTATATACAGACTACAGAAGTATGACTTGGACATTAACTGTGAAATTGGAGGGCGCATAGGGTTGTCAAAAACAAAATGTATTACTGCGACGCTAAACATTTTTACGCTTATAAATATTTCAATAAAGCAAAAGGCTATGTCGTGATTTGTTTGCGTTTGGCTAAGCAATTATTAGGAACGAATGTTATAAAAAACAAACCAACGACAATTCTTTGTCCTAGTTTTTTGCTTTTTATAGTGTAACGTCAAATGAGGGAAAATGGTACAAACTTTTCAATATCTTCGTGAATTATAATATAATTAGTTTTCATGTTTCCAAATAGGTCATGCTTACATAAATATATGCGTTCAATCATTTTATTATCACTAAAGTTTATTTGTTGATATACCCACTGTACTTATTTTAATGGAACATCAGGATGTTAGTTTAGTTATCAAAAATAGTTATCGTCCCATAGTTTATTGGTTGGCACAACCCTAGTCGCATATCAGTAATGGAGCATAACCGTGGTCGTGCTCCGAGCTCACACGACGCTAACTCGCTCCAGTGTGCTACATCTGTCCGGTCCTATGCGGTCCGCAAACTCGGGCCGCCTTGGCTCTCTGGTGGTCCATGCCAGAAGGAACAATTATAAAAAACAGCCAACAAGAGCTCGCAACAATCCCAAGGATATCCCTGAATCTACAGGTTATGTGTTTAAATTTTTTAATGTGCAAAGTTCTTTTGAATTGATTTATTTACACGGTAAGAATGTAAATAATATTATTTTATCCCTTTAATCTTGTTAGTCATTGTATTAGTTATAAGATATTGTTCCATATGGTCAAATCTTTTATAAGTACCGCAAGCGAAGAGTCATTAGACGAAGATGTTCATACATCTTATGAATAAATGCAATTAAAATATGTATGATGATTTTATAATAATTTACGGATTTATAATTTTACGGCTTTATTTGAAAGCGTAGTGATTGTTAGGCTGTAACCCTTTTGTGACATAGTATGGATAACGATGGAAAGTTTCTGAATAGTTGCTGGAATTTTTATTAACCCTTTGTTAATACTGCACGAAATAAGGAAGCAGGAAGCAGCGTCCTTTTGTTTGTCCAATCATACTGTTAACTCGACAGACATGCGCTAAATAAATACATGACATTGGAAAAATCTCGCACCTTACCGCACCTACTTTGAATTTGACAAACTTTTATTTAATTAAAATTTTTGTGAACCAATTACATAGATTTCTGGACATCTTTTGTTCTTACTGTAAGAAAGAAAATCCAATACTGTGCCGGTGTACTGGCACAACACTAGCTTTACTAAAATGTCGAGGTCTATGCCCCATCACTAATAATTCTAACACTAGACTTTGTAACGAGAGCACGTCATTCGCGCCAAAGGATTGTAATTAATAATGTCTAAAATTACCTAGTTAAAAGCTTACTTGTTTAATTAAAAATTTTTATTAAACGATCACTACTACAAAACGATCTTACTTCTTATCTTACTAATATTATAAATGCGAAAGTTTAGATGGATGGATGTTATAAGATATCTCCAGAACGGCCGTGTGGATATCATTGAAATTTGGCATAGATATAGAAGATAGTCTGGAATAACACATAGTGTACTAATTCGGATTTTTAATACCGCGCGGACGGAGTCACGGGCGACAGTTAGTTTTAAATATTTGTATTGTCGCGTATGTTATGCTATGCGTTTTAAAATTATGATTAATCATTCATGGAATTCCCATTAAATGTTTTAAATGTAACTAATTCTATTAATTCTAGATGAATTACTGGAAAATATGAAGATTTGTGTAGCTTGGTTTAAATATCATGAGGAAAATTAGACAAAAAATGAAGTTTGCGGTAGTAATTTTCCACCGGGACTGTATAATGCATTTTATTCAATCTGTATAGATCGAATCTAGGTCTAAATGCTGTAGCCATTTAGATACACTTAGAAATTATTAAAATGCTTAATCTAGACCTCTTCGTTTACCTATCAATAACTGAATCTCCGATGGGAATTTCTTGAAGCTAACTATAATTTACTAATTGCTTTCCAATGAGAATGTAATTTTATAGTTTACCAGCTGTCGCCCGCGACTCCGTCCGCGTGGATATATAAAAAAACTTAATTAGTGTAGTCCACCCATCCATCCACATCACATCCATCTAAACATTCGCATTTATAATAGTAGTAAGTTAAATAAAAAGCAGCTCTTCAGGGCATAAATTAAAAAAAAAATGAATAAATAGTATCCTATGTCCGTCTCCTGGCTCTGAGCTACCTCCTCACCAATTTTCAGCCATATCGGTAAAGCCGTTCTTGAGTTATAAATAGTGTAACTAACAAGACTTTCTTTTATATATATAGTTTATTACATATAAACAAATCTTTCATTTATATATCAGTAGGTAATTAATTTAAGATGACAAATACAAAGTACAAAGACATAAATACTATGATAACTGTTGGTTATCGTTAGACAGCATTTAAACTGTAATTACAGTTTCTCGTTAACCCATTGTATGTGTCCACGGCCTCGTAACCATCTAACGATGTTTACTCTAGCTATTGACTGATTATTCGAACATTTCTTGACATGACTTAGCTAAGTAATTGACTAACCGTCTTTTTCTGAGACCTAATTCTTTGCATAAAACATATTCATCTCATTTTTTTGTCAATTATGTCTATTAAGAGATGACCATATCTATAGATAAATACAGAGATTTTGATCCTAGAAACCCACGGTAATTAGCTTTTAAAATCTTAAGATATTGTGTTCAATTTTAAGTTTTTTACTTCAAAATCTTTTTTTTTTCGAAAATCTTGTTTCTGCTTACTGTATGCAGTGGGCAGTTTTATTTTTAAATGTAATGACTGGCAATGATTAATTATTTTTAATTTGGTGTTGTCTGAACACGCTTCCAAAGATGAATTTGCAATTTTTTTGGTCGTAGCTTTTCAAAGAAGAATTTTCATGTTCCCCGCTGCGACCGGCTTGTTTCTACAGTGTGTCCACGCAGTATTCTAAAATAATGGGACAATTTCTTTCGGCGCTTTCTCTCAGAGATATTGAAAAAAATTGGGACTTGATTTTTATATGCTTTAAAACCTCAATGAGACCATAATATTTATAAAACATAGTGTGAGCTTATAGAGAAACCGTGGTGTCAGCGAGATACAGATTAGTTTAAATCTCATTGCCTTCTTTATTTTTAGGCTTCGTTTACAACCAAATAATACACCACTTTCGTTATTCAAATTATTATTTTACCCCCCCCCCCAACTCCCCAACTACCAATACTCGCATCCAGCTACCAAATAATACTGTCCTATCTTTCATGTGTCGTGTGGTCGCACACACATTCCTGACGCTTCCCGGAACAGCATTATTTATTGCGTTCGAGATGCCTCGCTCTTATGAACTAAAGCGGTGGTCATCAGCCAAATGTTGAGAATATAATCCGGAGATTTCATCAGTAAACTTAATTGTGTAGAGGACTTCCGAATATGGATTCATTAGTTCACATTTAAACGAATATTACATACACAATGTTTATCATCTTCAGCTGTTTTCCAATATGGATAATAAGAGAAGAGCTAAGACAAATAGAAAGTATGTGATACATATTAGATTCTTTGTCTTTAGTACCTCAACGAAACATAGAAATCAAACTAAGATATGAAAATGTTTTGTATTGAAAACACTTTCATATGTGAACGCATCTTTACATACGTCTCTCGTCGGCCGCAGTCCATCGACTTTCCAGTGCTTTATCACCAAGTGTCGGGAGCACACGTTCCCATATATCGTAGTCATAGATCATACGCATAAACGACTATAGGTATGTACACATTAACGTGGAGTATGTTTTAATTAATCAATTAAAATAATTGATAAACGTAATGTTAAATTTAAAGTCTAATTAAAGTCATTTTTTCCAAAAATGACTTTAATTAGACTTTAAATTATATTTATGTGAATATTTTGTTTTTATTTATAAGTGTTGTTGAAAAATAATTAAACAATGCGATGTGATAAAGTGAAATAATATAGGTTTGGAAGTTTCATCATCTCAAGAAAGTTGTATGGCAGCTATTAAATTGCTGTTTGGTCGTTTTATATCAATCATCTTCACTCGTAGGGCCCAAAGTAGGGCTTTATAACTTAAACTTTTCTGACATACAACGAACAATGGATTTAACGTATTGTTTCTGGTTTTTTTTAACGATATTTTATATATGCTCTTGACCTATTTTATAAGCCTAAATTATTTTCTCTTGAAGACATAAATATCGTCAAATAATTTATTACGAGTTGAATTTGAATCTAACGCGTTGACTTCCTATTTGCTCTAATACATTGCATGTCAAATCAGAGAAATAATATCTCATTAGATATATAATACACGTTCGTACATAACTTGTGAAAGTACCCTAACTATTTTCTCTCTGATCGTTTCAAACATTCGTCACAAGATAAGACCGTGTACATGCCAATTGTAAGATGTTGATTCTAAAGTAAATTGTGTGTACACACTTTAACTTTATCGATGGATAAGAGACGATCTGAGTTCACATTGGGTGGGTTTACACTCGAAATACTTCCATAAAACATACCTACTCTAATAATAATTACAATGGATGTTAATGTATTTGTTTAGGTAGCGAAATCAAGTTGCGCCGATTGATCGGTAGACTGATCGGAATTGGACGGCTATGTTCCCATTGATTCTAACATGTTTTTTTTAGAAAATATTACAAGTTACATGTCTTCATGTAACATCGCCTCTATTCGATTTAACAAAAACTTGTTCCACAGACTTTCGCAAGTCGAAGACGAGCCTGTCTAAGTCTAAGGAAAAGGTGTCTGCGGAAGAAGAGAAGCTGCTTAGCAAGGAAGAGGAAGCTAAGATCGTCACCCGCGTTGACATGGCCGATGCCCGGTACGTGGTCGAGGACCATAGGAACGGAGATGCCAACATCGAGCTCGACGCTAATAAGAGGGTAAGAAAGCATAGATTAAATCTAATATTATAAATGCGAAAGTTTGGATGGATGGATGGTTATTTGTTTGAAGGTACATCGAGATCGGTTGTATGGATCTCGGTGAAATTTGGCATAGATGTAGAACATACTCTGGATGAACACATAGGCTTCTAATTAAGTTTTTTTTTAAATTTCGCGCGGACAGGGTCGCGGGCGACAGCTGGTTTAGATATCCATCCATCCATCCATATCTTCTTAGGCAATGACAGTGTAACCCACAGAGTAGCAAACGTAAGATTAGTCACTTTTACCATACCTTTTTACGTGACATACTGAAAGTTATATTTGTTATTGTCTGTAGCAATTCACGGGCCTGACAAAGGAGGAGCTGATGAAGTACGCAGAGGACCCGTTCTGGGTTCGCTTGCGTTGGTTCATGTTCATCTTGTTCTGGTCGCTGTGGCTGTGCATGCTGGCCGCCGCCATCGCTATTATTTTGCAAGCGCCCAAGTGCGCTCCACCACCGCCTAAAACCTGGTTGGTATTATAAACCTACATTTTTCTGACATAGCTCAAAATCGTTGTTTGTCTACATCTTGTCCGTATGTGTTTACGCCTCGTCCAGTGTGGATAAATAAAACTGACAAACAAACAGTAATTTTACTAATATTATAAATGCGAAAGATTAAATGGATGCATGTTTGCTAAAAGATAGCTCAAGAATGGATGTTTGGATTTCGCTGAAATTTGGCATAGATGTTAAATATAGTTTGGAAAAACACACAAGCTACAAAGTTTTCTTTAATTCCGTAAGGACGGAGTCGCGAGCGACAGTTAGTGATAAATAATTTTTTATAAACCAGGTACGAAAAAGGTCCACTAGTGGACATGTCCGCTGTGGAGAGTTTTGAAGAGCTGGAGGCAGAACTGCCGCAGCTGAAGAGCAACCAGGTGCAAGGCATCTTCACTTACGTCTGCAAGGATACTTACGAAGTGCTGGAGGAACCCAGCTGTCTCCAGAAGTTCAAAGATTTTGTCACCAAAGCGAAGGATTACGGCATAAAGTGAGTTAATCAAGTCCGTTTTAGGCCAAAGCAGGCAATTTGGTTTTTTAATTATCAATTCCCTTCTATCATTTTATGTTTTTTTGTGTATGATGCGGATGGTAGCAATTTTTTCTTTCTTTCTTTCATTGAATTTTGTCTGTGTGTTGTGCAGGGTGATCGTGGACCTGACGGCTAACTCTGTGGGCACGAACCACTCGTGGTTTGCTCTGAGTGAGAACCGCAGCGCCGGCTACGAGCAGTACTTCCTGTGGGCGGACGGCGCAGGCTTCGGGGAGGATCACACACTTAACCCACCAAACAACTGGGTACATTAATATCCAAACTTTATGACGGCTCGAAATCTTGTATCTGATATTGCGCATGCTACTTTAAATATTGGTGTAACATAAAAGAATATAAAAAAGAAAGAGTTTGAAATTAGATCTAGTTCACTTTACACTAAAATTTCCATAAAAGAGTATGTATAGCCGTTTTATTCATGCATCCTTATGAAATTAGATATGATTTATTTTCAGATATCAAAACAGGACGAGTCGGCGTGGTCATACAGCGAGCGGCGCAAGCAGTTCTACCTCCACCAGCTGTCGAGGGAACAGGCAGACCTCAACTTCACCAACCCCGAGGTGGTGCGCCGCTTTGATGACGTCCTCAAGCTGTGGATGCAGGCCGGCGCTTACGGCGTCAGGTACATTCATATAATTACATACAAACTTTATAGCAGCTTGCAATACACCACACTGCTCAGTACAAGTACAAGAGCCATCTACGAAGACACGCGCTCGCAATGCGGATAAAAATTGAAAGCCCTAAGTAGGTGACTCCAGGAACAACTGTATTCTGTTTTTCTCCCCATTAAACACGAGCCGCCGTAAACTTTGAATCTTATAATACTTGGTAACTCACACACATTGTCATAAAGTTAAAAATACCAAAATATCATTTACAACAAAAGGTGGATTCAAGTGTTACTAGGCGGATCAAAACGTATTTATTTCGATATTAATGTCAAAAAATGGTGGTGTCTTTCTCAGATTGATGGATGCCCGATACTTAGTGGTGAACTCTTCGCTGGCGGAGGAGCAGCCGGAGCGCAGTGGTGCGGCGCTCGGCGCGACACACTCCCAGCACGCGTACTGGCAGCACCGGCACTCGCGCGACCAGCCCGCACTCCTCCCCCTGCTGCAGCACTGGGCACACCTTGTAGACCACGCCCCGCCCAACACCGGCATAGGTACGCCCACACTGATACATCCTTGTAATGATATTCCTTCCCTATTATAGACTTAGAAGTTTACCTGATTTTTAAGAATGAAGCATTCGATTCTTATTATATTTAAATTTATTTATCGTTTAAAAATTACTTAAGAAATGTGAAATATAAAAGTGACTATTTAGATTTTTGTCTATGCTTTTTTAAAGTATTTTTGGAACAATCCTCATCGCTTGTTGTGTTGTGTCAGGTGAGACAGTGTTCACGTTGTCGGAGATGACCCGGCCCGAGCTGTTCCTGCTGCGTGCCAACGTGTCGGGCGCGCTGCGTCCCGCCAGCGCCGCCCCGCTCCCCGCCGCGCGCCCCGCGGACCTCGCCGCCGCGCTCAACACGCGCCTGCCCTACTGGCCCGCCCTACAGGTACCCACTCACACTCCTTCAGTACTCATTAAGAGTAGATTTAGTATGTCCATTAGTAGTTGCAAATTTAACTTTTTTGTGGTGTTGTCCAGGTGGAGGATGGTGAGGAGAGTGAGGTGTGGATGTTGTCAGCGCTGCTGCCCGCCGCCCCCGTGCTCGCCAGTAGCCAGCTGCTCGCCCATAACGACACAGAGGTGAGTACACAACTTGTTACATATAAAATTAAGTTTGAAACAATATTAATAATGAGTTGATATAAAATGTTTGTTTATATAGAAATTCATGTGGTTTAGTTTGTTGTTTATGTCGACGTCGTTATTGAATTCACTTTTAGTAGTAGTTTACCTTTTGCTCGTGTTTAGGTAATATTTGCATATTGTTGTTTCCTTTTTTTATAAAATGGCCATATTTTTGTACGTGTGTTTCAGCATTATATTATAATTTACCTTTTGTTTATGTTTGTCAGATCGTGTCATGGGAGCGCGTGTGGTCGCTGCGCGGTGACGCGAGCGTGGAGCACGGCCGCTACAGCGTGGCCGCTGTGCCTGACCAGGACGGACAATATAACCTCATTGCATGCGCCAGGTAATACCAAAGTACCAATACCTTCTGCTAACAATACATTTTACGATAGATCCGGTGAATTTAGTTGGTAGGAGTAAAGTTGTTGAAACTTTTTAATTACACACTGACAGTAAGATTTGTAATTATGTTGACAGATGGAAGGCGGGTCACACGGGTTATGTAGCGGTATACAACGCGGGTGAGACGGCGCACGCCAACCTCACCGCGCCCGCACCCGCACTCTCAGCCCTGCCCGCCCGCCTCGCCGTGCACCATGTCTCGCACGCCGCAGCGCTGCAGACTAAGTCAGTACCCCTCATCATCATCATCAGCTCCCTATATATTCCAACTAAGAGGCTCGGGTGCCTAACCTAAATTAGGGGTGATTTTTTCGATTGTATCACGATGTTTTCCTTCACAGTAAGAACATTGGATAATTATTACCCCTACTCTACACATAATCCATTAAGGCATTTAATTTTTAGTTTAGCGAACTCATTTTTTGCCTGCTCATGAGTAATATGAGTTATTGATATGTGCAGCTACACTGTGAACATGGAGGTGGAGGCGGCCTCAGTGCTGGTGCCGGCAAAGTCTGCGCTGCTGCTCTCCTTCGTACCCAACGCTGCTGTAGAGGAATAACCCCCCGCTCCCCCTGCAGCGACCGCCGCGCCCCCCGCGACAGCACCGCCCTCGTAGCGAAATATTCGCTTGCCGCCGCCAAATACGTGCGGTTTTAATTTAGCATTTTTTAATTTAATGTGAAGCTTAATAAATATTGCAGTTTGATATGTTTGTTTTATTTTGAAATAACATAGGAACTTTGTTGTTACGTTAAGTCTCCATTAACAAACAACGTCTTTAATTTCTTTTGTTTGAGAAAAAAAGATAGTAAGTTTTTAAATTGAAATATGAAAATGGAAATAAAAAACCTTATAAAAATTAATAATTATTTATTAAAAACTGACATTCGAAATGTTAGCGTTTTATAAAGCGTTTGTACAAATATAGGTAAAACTAAACCTCGCGTACTAAAGTTAAATACATTATCAATATTCGTGTCTTTGTAGTCAAAATACATAAGTTTTTTTATCACGATTTAAAAAAGCAAAATTCTTGCTTTAGATTACAAAATGATAGCCTATGAAAACTAAATTATTGTATTTTTCTTAATTTTCTATAATCTAAGAGAATCATGAAATATACTCGAATAAGCGCACCGAATGTTTGAAACATGGCATTTTATAAACAATTTTAATTTGACTAACATTGGAAAATATGAAAAAAGATATGCAGAAAAAATTACTAGTACTTACTATTATTAGGATATTTTTTCTATAATAACTTAAAAGTTAATGTTATATTAAAAGAAAGCTTCTTTACATTATGTTTTAAAATACTATATAATTTCATATTAAAAGTAAAAAATATGCAAAGAATAAATCATCTAATAATATCACTTTTGAAAATCGAAAATTTAAAAATAGTAAATTTACATATTAAATGCGAATTTATCAAACATTTTGTTAAGAAAATAATACTTTTAAATTATAATTTGTTAATTCTAGATTTTTCTAATCTAAAGAAATTCACTTTTAATGTTATTTTATAATTTATGGCTGAATAAGAACTTAATAGAAATTAGGTAGTAACTGAATGCAAATAAGAGTGGAATTTCAGTGCTCATAAAAATTTCTTCAAATTTTATAATAAATTTTTCGTAACAATTCAGCAAACAGTTTTAAATGCATTTTTCAAATAATTATTAAACAATCTCCCAAATACAATTTAAAATTAACACGTTCACTGCCACCGACTCGTGGTGGGAGTTTACTATAAGAAAAAAATCTTAACATTGAACGTGTTAAATTCTTTCTACATCCGAAATCATTCCAAATTTAGTAACAATATCAAATGAGTACTGTCAATCTGTCAAATTTGAAGTCAAATCGATGTATTTGTCAAAATCGTTTTACAAACACAAATAACATAAAATATCTAAATTTATATGCCAAACAATCTTTAAACATCTTTTAAGATAAGAAAGAGTTTTAACAATAAATTTGGAACTAAAATGTGACAGTTTGTTCAGACAAATGGCCACTGTTGATATAACCAATGTACTTACTGGTGTAGTGTAAGTTATCGTTTCTTGTTATTCTTGGGTTTGTTGAACTGATAGTTGACGCACTTGGGGATGTGTCTCTCGGCGGCGGCCTGGTTGAAGCGCCGGCCGCAGTGAGGACACGACACGTAGTCCGGGTTCTCAGACGGCGGGGGAGGGGGCAAGTCGCTCAGTTTACCTGAAAACAAACAAACAATTTGTCCTTAATGTTTTATTTTTATATCTAATGGATATAATCAAATACCAGTCAAACGATAAAAAAAATCAATTTTATATAGAACAATTTTCTAATAGCATTTAAAGGGTTGAAAGGCAGATTGACTCATGCGGGACATAAACGGTGTTCCTCTTTAGACGAGTAGAACTTGGAAGCGAGAAGGTTGGCAATGGGATTGGTGACCAGATTCATTTAGGATCTAGGTCTAAAAAGAAAGATATTAGAGGCTTCAGTCTGAAAGGTATGTATAGAACAGTAAGAACATGTGAACAGAGCGTGTACTGACCGCCGGCCTTGAGATGTGCCTGCACCTGCTTGGCGGCACGGATGGCCTGAATGAACTCCTCGTGCTTCTGTCGCCACGTGCTGTTCAGCTGCTTGCCCGACCCCTTGCCCCCGCCCCCGCTGCCTGCCCCGCTTCCCCCACCACTGCCCTGCGTCCCCTTGCGCAGCTTGCCGATAAAAGGTTCCGCTTCCGTACCCTGGACCAACCAGACAATAGTATGAAGGATTTTAACAATAATTTCAGTGCTTTCTTCAAAATTTAAAGCGTGTTTGTTATCGAAAACTGAGAATGTGTTGCAATTGATGATGTAATAAAATGTCAATATGATATGATCGATATAAAAATGATACGATGACGAGGAATTGTGCCATAAAATTTATGCTTGCCTTAAAATTTTCAGCTTCCGTGCCCTTTTCCATGTAGCCAATATAAGACAATTTATTAGTGTCTATACATAAATATAAAACAGTATTCATCTTCATTTGACATCATTAAGAACATAAGATAAGAAAAAGCTGTTGTTTATATATCCACAAACTTACCGCCAGCCTATGTTTGAGAACATCGAACGGCTTCCGTTTCTTGGCGTGCGCTTTCTTGCAGATGGCCTCGTGCTTCGCGAGCCGGTCACTCGCGAAACGTCGCCCGCACACCCCACACGCCTCCCCCCCACCACCACCCACGACCCCCGCACTACCCCCCGCACCCACTGACGTGCCCGACCGGGTTTTACTGCCCGGCGTCTGTCATACATATCGAATTAACTAAATATGAAATATTTTAATACGCATAACTATATTATTATTCAAAAATAGTTAATTTTTTATCAGAATTAGCAATATTATAAAAACAAATCGTAATATCAAATAATAAAAATTTAATAAAACAAGAACCTACCGAAGGTGTTTTTTTAAGTACCTGAAATATAAAAAAAAGTTTCGATTTTTACTTCATTTACATTTTAAAGTGGTGATCATATTTTTGAGCATATTTTCATATTAATGAAGTCAATTTAAGTCACAGTTAGTCCTCTTTCCCTTCCCACCCTTTTTCTTATAATGAAAGGATGGGAAGTGGACTTTCCGGATGAGAGGATGCATGGAAAGGGAAAATATTTCCTTTCTGTGCATCCTCTCCTCCGTCGATTAAAGGTAGGCAACGCATATGCAATTGCGTATGTCTATGGGCAAGGGTCACTTTGCTATTTCAGCGATTTTAGGTGGCCGCTCGCTCGTTTGCCACCTTATGATTTATATCAAAAAAAGTCACAACAATGTTTTGCAAAACAATTTAATTTCACAACAAGATTCTCGATACCTTTGTTTACTATTATGACAACACAAATACTTCACGTAAATCTAATAATTCAAATTAACAATATATAATAATACTTACAGTGCTGGAGACACGTTGTGTTGCCACTCTTGATTTATCAGGCATCTGCATAATTATTTATTTAAACAATTATTATTAAAATACAAATAATTTGATTTGTTTACTATTATGACAACATGTGTCACATTGATTTGAATTTCGCACAATTGTCATCAATACATCAAGTAGTCTTTAATTTTCAATATGCATAAAATGGAACGTATTGTAGTTGATCAAAGAGTAAGTGACAGATGTCACTGAGAAAAGTATTATATATTTTTTTCATCTTTGCCATTGAACATTAAGTGGAGGACCTCCAAATAATATATGACTTAAAGGTCTATGTTACCAGGTCATAAAATTAAAAAAAAAGTGGAGGCCGAATATTATAGAAGGTATTGGGAAAGGCCTATGTCCAGCAGTGGGCAGATAAAGACTGTTGATGATGATCAATAGGAATTGTTTTTTACTGCTAAATTAAAAAAAACACCATCATATCAACGTTTCTTAGTTCATTACTAGAAAATAGACCTTTCACAGTATACGGTCTTACGCCTTTCATCCAACGACTTGTTTCCGTACTACGTCTTCAGTCCACCCGGAGGGGTTCCCAACGCTTCTGTGGTCCTCCCCAGACTTTCCACCCGTACCTGGCGTCGCTGACTCAAAAGATGTGACCAGCCGTTTACCACTTCCGACTACTGACTTTGAGAACTAAGTCTACTCTAGTTACTTCCTAATAATACTATGATGATTATAATTAGTCATTTTACTTACGTTACTTTCGCTGGTGACTCGCTTTGTGGAGGCATTTGATAACTGCGGCCTGGACTTTGTTGGACTTGTCGGTCGTTTTTGTATTGGATTTCTACACAGGTTTATAAATAGCAATAACTTTTAAGTAATTATAACATAAATATTACTGAAAGAGTTTTGTTATATTTACCTCTGTGTGAATTTCTTAACCTGTGCTTTAGGTTCAGGCGAGCGCGGTGTTGGCGTGGGCGCCATCGCCTCTGGGAATGTCTCATCTTGCAGGAGACAATTGTTTTCAGCCTTATCCACTTCATCAACGTAAGAGTAATCACCATTCGGTTGATTCTTGAAGACAAATATTTTTATCATAGTAACATCGCGAGAAAATGTGCTTCGCTTCATCAATAATTTTGACTCATTGTTGGTTTCAAGAATAGAACAAAATTCTTATATATAAAATATAGTTACCCCTCTTATTACATTTGATAAAAGGATTTTGGTCTCAGAAACCATCTATAAGTTCGGTAATAAAATAAAACTTACCGATTGTTTAATAGAATTCAAATCTAACTCATGATTGTGATTTAGATCACCGGAGACGTTCAAGATGTTTTCTGATTTGTGTACCTGAAAAAAAAAATGGCAAAAAATACAATGAAATGGTAAAATTATTGAATTATTTACCGAATACAATGTTAATACGACGGAGACGAAGAAATTCAAGAATGTAATATTAAATTTTATAAGCAACTATAATGGAATACTTTTGGAATTAAAAACAGTTACTTAGGGACTCCCTCAAGTAACGACTGTGTGTCCGGCAATAAGTGTAGGTACTCACAATATCTTTCTTGACTATATGTGTGTTGGAAACAAGATGTGTCTTGGCGGCCTTCCTGTCGAGTGTGGTGATTGTGGTGAGAGTTGTGCGGGTGTTGGCGACGCGCGGCACTCCGTTGTGCGCGCGAGGCTTCGCCCGCTCCGTGTTATGTATGGGCTGCAGCGGGTAGCTCTTGTCTATACCTGCCTTCGTTCTGCGCTCTTCGAACATTTGCCGTACCTAGGAAGTATAATGATCTACAGCTAGTGTTTTCTTAGTTCCCAGTGAATAATTGATGTAGTTTTACACATTTTCAACACAAATGTATTAAAAAGAAATGTGCAATGAACGTGTCAGAATATCACAAAGTCACTGAATATAGATTTACTACACAAATGAACTAAGATTCTGTAAGAACCGATCTTTATTACAATTATTGTGGAAGTTCTATGGATACTTTAGCTGTCATGATTCACGTAATAGTGAAGTACTGACCTTGCCAGGCTGCACGTTATGTGTTGACTGTACATTGGGGCTGGTATGATTGTTGGGGCTGGTGGCAGGCGAGAGACGTAGCTTGTCAAGCGTGCGTGCTTGCTGCGCCTCGTATAATGACGCGATCTTCAGCTCGCGTTCCTGCAGCTGCTTCTGTTGGAATCGAGCCTGAGGACAAGATAAATCTGTTAGTGGTAATCTATGGAGAAAATTTATCTTACTTCATAAAGGAGGGTTTAATGATTTGCAACTTCACATTCTGAGGCCGTAAAAGAATCTGGAAGTCTCTTCATTAAGCTAGTTACGTGTCCTTTAAAATTGCAATTGAAAATCATAAAGCCGTTATTCCTTCCCAACAAACAATAATTGGAGCAAATACGACCTAATTAAATCATTGAGATGTTATCGATTCCAGTTTAATAAACTGTGGGTAGATCAGTTAGTCAAATTGCACAGATCAAATAGTAGTGGGCTTAGTTACCGCAGTTAACTTTCCTTATACGGCGCCCTGCTTTGTTTAGGTTATGTCCTTAGAAGCACGGATGTAGGACACTATCCGGGTAAAATTAAATATTGTGACATGTTGACATTGCTAATTTATTATTAACCAGCGATCGCCCGCGACTTCGTTAGCAAAACAATCACTTTAAGTAAATATGACCTTGCACTAAATGAATTGCTTTTAGTCTCCTAATGCCTACGCTTAGCTGGAGACAACTTAAAGATTTTTAAAGTTATTGTATCGAATCACTTCCGTCAGTGCCAGCAGTATTGAAGGCCGTCAGACATTGTCTTGCTTGTGGGCTAATATTGTAATTTACAATAAACCATTGTTATTTCATTGTCAAACTTTGTAAAAAGTAAGGAAATGTCATAGAAATAAAGTATTTATATTACGTAACAAACTATGTAAATTTTAACTTTAAACTTGCAAAAAACATTTAAGAAAATATCCAATATAAATCATCTATAGATGCAATCTTCCAAATACGTATCGATTTTGAAATCGATACTAAATCGAGTTTTAAAACATCGATTCCATTCACTTCAAGTGTCAATAAAGTGAAAGGAATATTGTGCACTGAAGTGTCATAAATATGTCGCACTGATGTGGGCGGGAGCGCTTGCCACCACTTTGGAAACTACCACATGTGGTCAACCCATTATTTTGTAGTCAATTGATGGCTTTACCACATTTTGTCGTAACTTTTAACTTTAAATGTCGTGACAACTGTACAAAATACTTTTCAAATAGGTATAAAGGGATGGCAAAATGTATTTAAATTAAGATAAAAATATAAATAATTCGTGAATATCCTGATAAGGAAATCATTTAATTTCGGTTACCTTATAAGGTTTTTAAAGAGATTTCGTGCTAAGAACGGACTGGTACTTCAAATATGGTGTTTTCTGTACAAAGTCCTACATAAGAGATTTTAATTAAAGTGAAATGCAATAAACATTTATGGTATATGTGATATGTGTCGCTCTAAATTTCTCAATTCAAGGCCGAAACTGGTCGGTGAATACCGTATCGTAACAATCATGGAATTATTAGTCTTCGTTCGTTACTAAAAAAAGGGTCAATCAAATATGGGAACTTTTGCAGACCGTCAAGATGAGAAAAGTATCTTACCTCGGCCAAGTGCTTAGGCACGACAGATACAATCTGATTCAACTCATCTTGATGGGAGAAGTTCCTGGTAAAAGAAGTGTTGGTCGTAGAAAGAAGTCCTGGTTGCGCAACATCCGAGAGTAGACAGAGGTTGCGAGTGCCGCCCAACTATTTCGCCTCGTAAGTGACAAGAAAAAATATGGAGAACTAATCGCCAACCTTCGTTAGTCGGAGAGGCATCACAAGAAAAAGACGTTCGTTACTAAATACATTTTTCTCGAATAAGTCGGTATGCAAAACCTACGTCTATAAACTCGATTAAAGATGTTTCTATCCATTTGCATATCGCGGTGTGGGCTGTGCACGTCCAAGGCGAGCCACATGTACATACATATAGATGTGAAGCTGAGAACTAGAATGCCCTTACACGGCTGCACTGACTCACCAGTCATCGACCTTACGCCTGGGAATTAAATCTAACATTTTTATTTCCTTAGTTACAATGTAAAAAGTTCTTAGTTCAGACAGCTAAAGTACACACTAAGACTAACAAAATTGTGGCGGTAAAAAAATGTCTCGTACAAGATCTAGATTTGACAAGTATCCATGTTTTCCAAAAACTAATAATCTACTGGAATCCACAATTGCTACTTGCATACTAACTGCAAGTTCAAACATGAATCTATTGCAATTAATATAAATCGTAATATTGCTTTTACATGTCGTCATCAGCTCTTACATTTTCCAATACGAGCAAACCCAAGTTAGGGATGAATAAGCCATAGTCAACTATCACCAGTGCGGGTCGGTTTATTTTCTTCTCACATATGTGTATACTTTACACGGACATATAAAACCTTATTCCATCGCTACAAGGATATCAATGAGTATCATATCTATTGCAGTAGGCGTGTTGTCAATGATTTCCTTCCTTATTCTTTTTATGGGCGACAACTAAGTTTATGTCCCACACATAATATGTACTTGACAAGATCTTAGCGTTGTGAAACAAATGTTTCATAATTTTTATTTATTATATTTAGTATATTATTTTTTATCCATATTGATGTTAATTAAATTTTTATATACAACTTCAGTAGGTGTAAGAGTCAACTGTTTAAATTTAATAATTACACGTATCCATGTATCCATTATGGATAAAAACAATAGGTAGATAATGGATATAGAGCAAATAAACTTACGTGTATGGTTGTTAATACAAAAGGTAAGAATATTAATAAGCAATATAAAGGAGTTGATTGTTTTGCGAACCTGTCCACATTATGATTCAACGAGGTCGACGCGGAGGTGTGATGTAACGAAGGTTGCCTGCCCACATGACTAAGTCGCAAACATAACAAAAGTCGCGAACGTGAATTAGTATTCACTATTAGTATACTGAAGTAAATAATAAACTAATTATTTATCATAAGAGATTTTTGTTATATGGCCAAGTGACAAAAACTTTTAAATAAAAATAATTTATTTTACAAGGATAAAATTACAAGTTAACAGCAGTACGTTGAAACAGTGAATGACCTAATATAATTTAGACATAGAGTATATATAAGGGTATTGTGTAAACAATACTCTCAAATGACTTATTGATAGAATTAGAGGAATCGTAAATAGATAATTAGGAGTTTGTTTTGACAGAGTTTGTGAGAATTGTAAACAAGTAGTTAGGAAATGGTAGTTATCGATGTTTAAACAAATACATATTAACTTATCAACGGTAAATACAATGTTTCGAAAATAGCAAAATAGTTTAAGACAAAGGGATGTTGAAATATTTATGTGCTAGGTTCTTATATATTAGTATTAGTTATCTTACATGATATTATATAACAAAATGGAGTAAATAGCAAAATGATTCGATATAAAGTTATGTAGTGCTTATGTACTAGATTCTTATATACTAGTGTTAGTACTTATATAGTCATTATATAACATTTTTAATAGAAGAAAGGGATAAACGAGCAGGGAAATGAAGGATAGAATAAATTGAATGTTGAACCGACCCCAAGGACATTTGCAACACCGGAGAAAATTAAGCATCTCCCTTGGTCTACTCTCTCATGTTAAACCACCCTAAATCGTAACGGTTCGATTTTTTATATTTGGATCTGATTTTTCATTTTTTTTAAAATAAATTGTTACCTGATGCTCAGAAAGTGTTAGCCAACCATTCCTTATGTCAATAGGATCAGCTCCCTCCAAGGATATCGAGGAAACACTGCCAGGACTCCACCGATTTTTTCGTTGCCACCAGTTCACTTGATCCATGGGTTTATTAAAGTAACGTACCTCCATTGGGTCTATTTTATTTTGACACTACTTTCAAAATACTATATTAATTTATGCATTTTTACACTGTAATAGGTAAAATTTAGGTTTAGAAAATTTCTGTTTGGTTTTAGTTTGTACTTCGACAGCTTTCGTAATGTGAATGAAAATCATTGTGTGCTTTACCCTTGGTGGTTATTTGTTTGGTTGCTGGTCGCCTAGAGACGATTGCACACGGAGGTCAATGTCACGTCAACTTGACCTCTACTAGCGAGGTAACTTGACCCGCTGATTAATACTTCCTTATTGGATTATCGTCTTATTAAGATGTACATTTAATTAACAACTTTAAGTTTATTGGATAAGGTTTAATTTACATATTTAATTATGTTTATATCAATGGTGTTTAGTTTAAAACAGTAGTCCTGTTACTCTATTGGTGATCGTTAGTGATTTATAATATATCCTTTATAAACACATTATTAATTAATAAAAGAGACGCAGCAGTGGCTGACAACTAGTCAAAGATGTTTATATAAATTAGTTTCTGTTGGATGGCAACATTTAACAGTTACTAACATCCTTGACCTGATTGTGTAGTCAGAGACCAGAGATTTCATTTGCCATGATTCTAATACAGTTGAATACTTTCCTCTTTCATACCAGATTTAAGACTAATATGAACAGTTCATCTAAGAGCATTTTTGATTAGAATTCTTAATAACATTTAAAGGAGTCTACGTGAATAATCTAAAAATACTTCATAAGCGTTAAAAGTAAAAATACCTGATACATTTTAAACGACACAAACCACACTTGAGTAACACAATGTAAACAATGTATGAGGATATATTAGTACAGGTGCTGAAAACGCATAGTGCGTGATGCGTGACCATTTTAACTGAGGGGACAAGTGACCGGATGCGGTAGGGTTCAGTATACCATCTACGGACAAGTACCAGTAATTGTAGATCTTAAGTTATCCAACTTATGATAGCTCACTGGTCGAAGGAATGAATAGTCGAATGTTTTATGTGTACTGTATATACTTTCGTGTACCTTTGGGTTTATTGACATATGTACATTTATCAGACGTTCTTACGGTGAAGGAAAATTCAAAGAAACTAGAAAGATTCAAAGAAAATAATTGTGTCAACCAAACCGCATTTGATCAGTGTCGTTCACTATGGCCTAGACAGTCCTAACTTAGGGTAAAATCCGAGCGCCTCAGAGGGGACGTATAGTGAGCTGATGATGATATAATTTCGTTTAATTATGGATTTAAGAACATTGGTGGAAGACAACGATTATCAGTGTACCATTGGGTCGATCGGTCAGTGGGCAACTCTATGTTACTACAGTAAATACTTTATTTATATTATTAATTTAGTTAGTAGTAAATAATATAAGTATATTACATTTGAATTTAAAATGTAATCATACATCCTACAGTGCAGCAGTTCAATGTTTAATATTCAAGTGTACCCGTGGGAAATTAAAGGAATAGTGCAAACCATGCTTTGTGTGCTTTGATATCGAAACGACGCGAAGCAAATTATAACGAAGTTATATAACTGGAAATCTGATTTGATATTTATAAGTAATAAAGAAGATGATTATAATATACATTGAATTTGTATACATTTAAAAAGGTAAGTTATGTTATTATGTTTCTATTATCAGGTGCGTTGAGTAACAAAATTCTAGCTCTGACAGATTCTATGGAACTTGAATTGATGTTTTCAAAGTTGTATAAACGAAATCACACGACAGTAGACTATTTGGAAGACGTATTAGAACTTCACCATGGCTTAAGATTAATGTGAAAGATCACGAAATGTGACTTTAAACTTAGCCAGTGTATCCACGTTGCTGCTTTCACTGCAGACAAGGTCAAAGTTGTCTGGACGCAATTCAATATTTGGCTTACTGTCGGCAAAGCAATTAACCCGTTTAATGTGTCTCGGTAGCGCTGACTCACAAGTCATCTTCGCTTTCTAACTTTCCACAGTTTATCAATCTTGCAAGATTATATTTAAGATGACTAAATTGCAACTCCAAAATGTCACTATCGTTTACTATCGTAAAATTATTAAACTAGATTCGTAATTTATAAATTATTACAAAAGTTATTGAATACATTGCTAATAAACTCTTTTGCAAAACATGCGGGCAGTTATGAAGTTGATATGTTTGTTGCAATCTTTGCATTTTCTTTTTTAATTCAAACAAAAATAATTATGAGTTTTTATTTCATTATTAGCGGCTCGACGGCTTCATCTCTTCGACTGTTCGATACTTGCCAAGTTTTATCGAAATCCGTTGGACAGTTTAACTTAGCTTTCTTAATTTGCCAATTGTGACCTTGCGCGCAAACCTAACAAATGGTACCAAACTTTTTCACGAATTCACTTTCCTTTACTTTGTTGGCATAAATATTTCTATAATAGTTTTTCATCGTATGTGGGTCGGGTGACGCCCCCGCGTGACTTGTATGTGACCATACATGTGTCGCCGCGCTGGCTGACTCATCGCACCGCGTAGCCTTAGATGACGTCACCACTTTCGTTTGACAATTTACTCTCATTGTATCGTTAACAAAGAAGTTCTTTGTTATAAAATTGTGTTATGATCTTCCTTATCGATATTATAATGCCGAAACATTTATAGACATATTAATTAGTAACCTATGTGTTCTTCCAGACTATGTTCTACATCTATGTCGAATTTAAGCGAGATCCTTGCAGCCCTTTGGGAGATACCTTTAAACAAACATCCATCCAAACGTTCGCATTTATAATATTAAGATACAGTTGTCGCTGTTCTTTTCCAAGATATACACAGAACAAACAGTACGTTTTTGTGCAAGTTTTTTGACAGTGGAAATCCAAAATTATTTTGATTCTTTTATCTAACTATTATGTTGTATCCTATGTTTGGAAGTACTCAAATAGCATTACCCATTACTGGAAGATTCTTGGGTTCTTTTTTTCTTACAATTATGAGGGAATTAGATCTAGATTATTTAACAGTTCACGTTAATCTTATTATATGCTTTACGTGTTGTTGACCTTTAGTCTAGGGTTGCGCAGTAATCTCAGATAATGTTTCAGGATAAGCTATTTTAACTAAGTACTATTAGTCTTCTTTGCATGTTGGTATTACTGCTTTTTCGAATTTCGATTCAAATATGTACATTTATCCGACGTTATTACGGTGAAGGAAAATATCGTGATGCAACCTGCACATATCTGAGAAGAAATTTTAAAAGATATTTGTGAAGTCAGACCGCACTGGGCCAGCGTGGTTGACTATGTCCTAGTCACCCCTAACTTAGGTAGCCTCTCAGTGGGGCCTTATAGTGAGCTGATGATGATGATGATTATGGCTAACAATATACATAAGTACAGGACTAAAATAGAAGAAAAGGGTGACAAATAAGAGTGCATACGTTATAGTATATATGAAGAAAAATAATATCAAATATAAATAGTCGTGCGAATTAAATAATAGTACGGGTGTGAATTTCAACAAAACGTTCTAGGGTTTCTATAATATTTAATATAAATATAGGTCTATAACTGGCCATATATTATGACATGTTTTAAAAAAGTTTTCTAAGCTTTGATAATATGGTATTATAGATTTTATCTAAAGATACTATTTACATAATCTACTTTAACCTACGAGAGATTTATATGTACTTAAATTTTTTATCTTCCACTCACCATACGAATATTTCTTTCTTTCTGTGAAAGAAAATAAAAAGCTTAAAAGAAAGAAAAAGTAAACAGTCGTACTTTTAGGACATGAAATTGATTCTTATAAGAGGATTTTTCTTTTGTTTACAAATAACACTCGACTACAGCGGATGTTAGCGAATTCAAAACGAAGAAATATTTAAGTTCATTGTTTGAATACTTAAAAGAGTACAAATATGTTTATTTAACTTTACAGACAGTTTTAAGCAGAAAAAAAGCTATTCGTTGCGTACATTATTTAAACAATAATAAAAAAAAATATTCGAGAGGATAAAGAAAATCCTCGACGCTATTATAAATGTAGTTATCAAAGGCAATGTAATCTTTTCATCGTTCGCCTTACGTAGATGTGTTTTATCTGTGGCGTTTTCTTTGTATAAAAACATCTCTTATCTCTTTCAATCACTTTATAAAAGTAGAGATAACAATATTTATTGACACACGTTGACGTAGATGTTAAATTCTTGCTGTCCGCAAATTCAAACTACTGATTTACGACATAAAGCAATCGTAATGTTCCTTTATTGTACATTCAAACGATGGCACAGATGTTCTCTATGTGGCAATCCGCTACTTATAAGGTAAAAAAATCTCACCATAGGAAATGACGTTACGATTAGAATCAATGTAAACACATACAATTAGAAATGATCTTTTTAAAGAAAAAAAAAACAATTATTTTCACTATAATACTGAAGGAAAACTAACCAAAATTATCATGTTACCATTTACCATTATATTACCATGTCTTTTTTTTTAATTCCGAAATTAAATTCTTCAAAAAATTAACATCAACGAGTGTGTCCTTAGGTCTAGTTCTATGTGAAATGTGATACCATTATTGGGTTACCTGTGTAATTAACACGATAGTCATAGAAATGACAGTGCTACACGCTAGTGGCATGGATTTGTAATTGCCGATCAGGCTAGCTAACTCGTAAAATTTTCCTAATCAAATGATAGATTAGATAATCTGGCACGAATTTTATTTCTATAAAATATATTAGTGAATACTTTCAAGGAGTGTCGGTGGCTCAGCGGTCAAGCACTTGACTTGCAATTTGCAAGTCCTGGGTTCGAATCCCGCCATGTACCAATGTGTTTTTCGATTTCCGATTTACATATGTACATTTATCCGACGTTCTTACGGTGGAGGAATCTTGATGCAACCTGCACACATCTGAGAAGAAATTCAAAGATATGTGTGAAGTCAACCAATCCGCACTTGGCCAGCGTGGTTGAAAATTGCCTAATCACCCTTAACTTAGGATAGGCTGCGAGCCCCTCGATGGGGACGTATAATGAGCTGATGATGATGAATACTTTCGGAACTTGCTTTTGCTTTAAGATAACTGTGTCTCTAACTGGTTTAATTGTTGCTTAGTTTATAATTTCAATAACGCCACTCACACCAGTATGATATGAACTTTGCAGCTTAATTATAAAACAAAAACATCCTGTATCTAATACATAAAAATTTATTTTATAACAGGTTTGAATTAAACTATTTATATGTTTACTTGATAATAAACAATATTATACTAGTTATTGTATTATTTTATGTTATGGTGAATCACCTTTCATTCTGCGGACGGCTTCGAAACCCTTCGCATTATAAAATTTTTGTGGACACGGCGGTTGAGCACTGAAATTGCAAACACGATGCCGACAGAAACTAATTAACTAACCAAAATACGTCAGTTCTGTACTGCTATGGTTTTGAATCTTATAACTTAGTAATAAGGTTTAATATTATAATGGAGAGTTTACCTGAGGATAATACGCTTTTTATTTATATAATAAAACTCATGTTATTTAATTAAATAGAAATATTTTGAAACATAATACTAGTAATATGTGTAAATTATTGATATTCACTACTCAAAAACGTTCAGTGGTGGTAGAGGATCAAGAATAGTAATTCGACCCTATTTGCTAATGTTGGTACCGCACTGATGCTAATAACGTATCCATTACATCTAAAGAAGAAATCCTAAAGGTTGGCACAACGATTTATAAGACAATCGTTAAGCCTTATAAAGCTGTTTGCTTAGTACCTACTTAGAATTTTAATTAGAAAGCGTTTTAGCCTTCTTACTAAAGCTCTAGCTCTCTATAAAATTTTTACTTTTAATTGCCCTCATTTAAAGGATCAAGTAAAAAAAAAGTAATGCTATTTAACAATATCATAAGGAATACAACATACTATCTATCGCCCGCGACTCCGTCTGCGCGGTATTAAAAAAAAACATAATTAGCAGCCTATGTTTTCTTCTAGACTATGTTTCATATGTATGCCAAATTATACCGAGAACCGTTAAGATGTTCTGGTGATACTTTTAAACAACCATCCATCCATCTAAACATTCGCATTTAAATATTAATAAACCAAAGACAATGTAGATCCATACATAAAACTGTAGAAAATTCATTATGAGCTACTGACTTTCATCCTATAGTGACGAGGTTATGCGTTAGTTTGTTATTACATTACTTATGCTATTATCACAAAAGTAATATATCTGTATTACGTCAAACACTTGAAGGTAAGATTCACACAAAGACTTATCTCGCATCCCGCTCGTATTTCAATACAAAAACCGGTGTAGCGCAATCTTCAGTACAAGTATTATAAATTGTTGCGCGTGCGCAACGAAAGAGCGCCTGACGGAATGTAGACTGCAGTAGGGTTGAGAATTTTATGCCCAGATGACCTTGAGACACCTAGATATATGAAAATCAAAAAGAGCTCCATTATTATTATGTTCTTTATTAAAATTTCAAATCATAAAAACTCTCTAATACTTTTTATTTTTGTTGCCTCAAGTGTGGTTACGGCGCATTTCTCAATTAGTCGAAATGGTCTGTTACTATTTGTTTAGCCGACGCACGAAGTGGCCACATCGTTCGGAACACGGTATAAATAGACCCTTTATCAATCACGCGAGTGCTTAGTAATGAGGATAATAAATATGTAATTGGAATTGGTAATAAACGTGATGGTAAACAAATGAATAATTCCGTTTCAATAGTAAATAAATCTTATTTACTTATATGTAAAGTGTACCTATGCATTTGAACACCAATTTTCTTGAATATCTTTTCTTTCAATAGCTGCATACTAAACTTTTCCATGTCTTTTAAAATAAGAGTAAATATAAAGAGCGCTGTTATTCTTTAAGTGAATTATTTTTCGGTTAACAATAAGTGAGTTCGATTCGTTCAATGTTAGTAAGTGTACATACCAGACGAGGTACATATAATGATGTTCTTATCACTAGCAAGTTAACAATGCTTCAATATGATAGTCTTAATTAGATTGGAATTGATTATTGCCTCGCTTACTAAAAATTCTCAACTAAATAAAGAAATGAATGGTGATAAGTTGAAGTTCCAAAAGGTTTTACCCTATTGCATATCAGTACATCTGTAAAATAACATACAAGAATTCAAACAGTCCTTTAATGGCAAGAATTTCAAATTACGATTGCTAATAAAAAACAACTCATATCTTACTATATGGTTTTCCTAAATTGAATAATTAACAGTTTAAGAAGCTGTATCCCGGTGGGACGCCACTACATCATTAACGATTGCCGTCTCGTCTCGTAATGACGTCGGTAAGCAATGGAATCCGAGCGGTGCATTGACGCTCGCTTGACTCATGCTCAACGCTGCCTACGTAAATCAACTCAAGCTTAGGGCTGACACGTCTTAGAGTTTGTCCTGAATTAAGATTAGCAAGGTGCTTATTCGGCCAAGTTCACGTCAAAGATATCCGTAATCTTTAACTACTCTTCTGGGTTACGAGCTTAAGTTATGGTTTTGTTTTTGGGGCTACGAGTTTGACATCGATGTATTTGGAGAATGGATCAAGAGTGGACTTATTTCTCGGTCAAGAAGGCAATGGTTGACAAATCATTTACCTTCATTTTATCGAAAGGTAGTTAAGGTTTGGTGAGTCAATTAAGGTCGTCTTTCTTAACTAGTATTCGGGTCTAAGTTTATTGCTTGGCAACCCTACTCGCGGCGCCTGCGCCAACAACATAGATACCTTTACTTACATACATATGTTGAGTTGCGTGATATTGCATTACTTTATAAGGTAACTTCGTGGCAGTCTTCGAGTAACAGTACCCTAATGTTATTGCTGCAAAATTAGATGCGCAAAAAAAGTTTATAGTGCATATGAAAATCTTATGCACTAATATGAGAAATGATCCAAAAGAGACGAAGGTATAAAAATTGTGTAATTTACCACCCAAGTTCATAAAAGAAGACGCGTGGGTGACCCAGATTTTGCAAGATTACAAAACTGGCATAACTTGATTTCTGCAAAATGCCCGCCCACAATATGACATTATCGACATGATAATTTTATGAGACCTTAATTTTTGGTAAGGGGAACATTAAAAATCGCTCGTTAACCCACGTGGTGTGCTGACCCGATGATTTATCGCAGACGTGAGCTGAAGAACAAATAAACATATTATAAATTTTCCTTTGACGTTCAAACATCTGTGGCCAATGGCAACTCCTATTTGGAATAGTTTACTGCTTAACGAGACAATGGACTCCTAAGACATGAAGTTATATCATCTGATTTATGGCAATGGCTGACTTTACCTTATTATCTTGAAATTTTCTATAAAAAAGTTATAAAATAAAGTTCTAGAATGAAGACTTACTAAAAAGGCGACATTAAAAACTATCACCATTATTAAAGGAAAGTATTGAAAACTTGTCATCTTAAGACTAACGAGTAATAACCTTGATACAGTCCTCGAAGATGACATAAAATACAACAAAACTAAAGCAGATATAAATGCAAGGAGCATACTTCATGAGTAATGTGAAAGGGGTGTAGGGGGTGAGTTTTGAAGTGAGATTGAATTGAGATTGGCGCAGTGCGGATCGGACGCAGCCGCCGCAGCCACTGCACCAATCGCAATGAATAAATCAAATAGTTGAATCCATCAGCAAACCGCGACTTGCGCTCTGTAATTTATTACTCTGTGACTCTCTGTATTGCCGTGAGTTTTCATTACATGCATGTACAGTAAGCTGCATTATTATATATATAACTATTAAAAAAATTTATAAACTTTCAGAGCTATCGGTTTCAAAAATACTTTTGCACGTATTCGTTAAAAACTTCTAGTCGGAAGAATAAGTGAATACGAATTCTTAAAACTAAAACCGTATATAAATAACTAAAGCTTTTAACTATATTCATATTGATGCTGCTGACTGTACCATAATCATAACAAACATATCGTCTTTCCTTTCATTTTCATTGAAAAACCCATAGATAGTAAATGTCTATGTAGAGCTATTAAGGAACGAATAACTTTTCAGGCTATATGAGGATGGATGTGACAATATTTAGATGAAAATAAGTATTACGGCAATTGAAAACTACATAAATAAGTACGTATGTGTTAGTGTCAGGTGGGACGGGTCGCAGGCCGCTGTCGCGAGTCGCTATCGATCGCGCCGCCACGATAACGGTTTGGGATAATCGTTGTCTCTATGTAGGTCGATGCCAGTCACAAACTATACCTATTATATTGCAAACTCTGAGTAAAAAGTTTTGGATGACAGACTAGAGAAACAATTATTAATCGTACTGTATATCATAAATCTGTAGTTTATTATATAGATAGTAGAGAGCAAAGATTTCATCAATTTTTATTAATAACTTTGGCGAAAGCGACCATTTACTAAATAATTACGTCTTCACTAAGTATCCTTGCTTATGAGACGATAGGTAAAATTAAACTGTTATTTGCCAGAAAAGAAATATTTGAGTCTAACTTTTGAATCGGATTTGTATAATCTGTGAAAGTTTATTATAAAGCATTTTCTCATCGTATTCGGCAGTTCTCATCGCAATATATCCTTTACGTTTACATCCCGTGTGACGCGGCGTGTGCGAAACTCAGTGAAAGTGTACGTAATGTATGCCAGAGTTACCTGTATTTTATAACTACCATCATGCCCCTCGCATGATATAACCGGCTACTGTATCTATACATATTAATAAAGTTGGAGTGTCTGTATGTATAATGTGTAATACAGAGAAATAATCTCATTTCGTACACATGATGTATTTACGTACCTGATAATGAAAAACACTTTTTTTAATTAATATATGGCCGCCTATCTTCAGCTTAATCTCCAGAACGGCTGGACCGATTTTGACGGGCCTTGGAAGGGAAGGTAGCTGGTGCACGCGGGCATATTAAAGATTATTATTTTTTAATTCTGCAATAACGAAGTTGCGGGCCACCACTAGTATAGAATATAAAAAAAAATCACTGCTAGTAGTCAGTAACGTCTTAAGGCGATCAGGGCAATAAACAATAAGTAAATTATTATAATTAATTTCTCAAATGTGTAAAGAAGATCATAAATCACATCCAATTGAAAAAAAAAACTTTTTTTGATAAAAAAAATCATGACATTGTTATTTACGTAAGCTGTTTAAGTAGCTTTGTATCTTACATAACAGTAAATTTTGTACAATCACTACGTAACTTTTTATTTATTTTAGACGAGTGAAAGAAAACGTGAAAGTAATTACAAAGCGAAGCAGTTTTGTGAGTTATGACTCAATCTTGCAACTGGTTTTCTTTGATCTTACAATATTCAATTTATTTAACAAATACTGTTTGTTATGTTAATTTACTCTCTATTTATTTTTTTATTGCTGAAAATTGGTGAGGAGATAGCTTAGAGCCAGGAGACGGACATAGGATACTATTTAATCTTTTTTTTCGAATTCATGCCTTGAAGAGTTGCTTTTTATTTAACTTACTAATATGAACAATGCGAATGTTTAGATGGATGTGATGTGGATGGGTGGGCTACACTAAGCTTTTTTATATAATATATTCACGCGGACGGAGTCGCGGGCGACAACTAGTATGTTATAAAAAGTGTGTCATTAATTAAAGGTGCGGAAGGTTTAGTGGATATTCGACCTGAATAGTTTTAATAAATATTTTTTAAAATTTTGAAATGTGTATTATTATGTAATAAACTCCAATAAGCATTGGGACATTGTAAGGAAATGTATAATTCATATCCTTTGGACAAAACGACCACAACTGCATACATCGTGAGAAATATAACACGTGTTGGAAGATTGTCAGATGAAAATTTCACATAGTTATATTTTTTTATCTTTTTGTTTAAAACATCCTATATCACAATCACGATTAAAAAGAACATAGGAATTACCTACAAGTCGTGGACTTCCACTGTCGAGTTACTACTGTTTTGTGTCAAATGTCTATAAAAGGTTTTCGGTAGTGGAAACGTGCGTTTATTAATATTAAAATCTGTAGTGTACTTTATCGCTTTGAACAAATACAATATAAAATAATTAAAATTTTAGTTTCACTAACCGAGAATGGTATTGCAGAAGCAAAAAGATCGCAAAAGTAACATTTCAGTTTAGTTCCATTGACTGAGCGTAATAACGGTCAAGATAGGGTCAAGGTTCAAGCATCGTTGAACAAACTACCAATATCTATCTCCCTTTCTCACTAACTTAATACAAGTGTACGAATGGGATAGATAAGATATGAAACTGCGCCAACGCCGACGACATAACGTTTGGCGCGTTCGAAAAACGGCCGTTGGTGAATCATGATGCGAATTATTCAAATAAGGAATGTTAATTGTTACGCCAAATTGAACTTTAACATCGTGTCTTAAGTACTATTTTTCGTCTATTAATGTCTCTCCTTTTTATTTTGTTTACATTTAACGATATTTGTTTTGGAAATAACTGTTGATTTTAATATGTTTAACATTTTAGTAGTGCAGTTATTTGCAATCGTAATAGCAAATGGGATCATCAAAGGCATAAACAATGATCAAGTTTTTTTGGTTATGATATAATTTTTTTTGTTGTGACAGAAATATTAAGTTAGCCCTTTTATGTAGTCTTTTAAACATGAGAAGAACTTGGTAAAGCGAAATACCTTAGGGAACCTGTTTGCCGGCCAGCATTGGGGCATTTACCTCTTATGAAGACTGATAAAATGCACTAAGATTATAGCACTTAAAAAAACTATATATTTATTTTTGTGAATTTAATAAAATTCACATTACTTTCGTTTTATATCCAGTCAATCTTATGTGACGTTTGTTAATACTTTCTTTTTGAGTACTGATTTCCCATTTCCTCGATAACCATTAAACACTGATAAAGATTTGCAGTAATAGATAACTAAATCAGGCACAATGTACATCTAAAAAAAGTCCACATCAAAAAATCTCAACACAAACTTCTGTATATCAAACAAAAATGCGTTTCAGGAACAGGCTTTATGCAAATATTCGCAGGTTCGTTAGCGAGAAATAAAAATAAAAAAGCTGAGCGTGTTTCCGCCAGACTAGACAGACGGATGGTTTTAATGAGGGAGGGTGCAGCGAAACATGGAAAAAATGTCAATAAAAGGTACTGAAAATGAAGTTATGGCATTTGTAAAGCAGCTTTTTTGTGCAAAACTACGTAAATCCAAACAGTTTATTTACGTTTGTTAATAGTCGAGTAACACATTTTTTTGTTTATTTTATAGATATATTAAAATTTAAATGATATATTTTTATACACGTATGAACGTGGAAGGGGCGATGAAGGTGTGCCTGGACTGCACCCATTAGAAATCCCTCTATGACTTCTACCTACTTCTGGGTCACGGATGTTTTTCGATTGTTGGTGTTTTTATTATGTAATAATGAACGACACATAATGTTGATCTTTTTCTTTTTATATCCATAATAGTGCCCATACAAAACTAGTTGCCATAGTAACATTATTTGTTATGACAATACCTAATTTTTGGACCATACTAACAATTATTGAAAACGTAGGATAAAGTTATAAAAATGTATTAGCAAAGAATAATAAAAAACCGAGCGAAGCTGCAGTGGCAACTCTCGCCCGTTACGCAGAGTGGTGGGCAGAACCTAGGGCTTCCATTTGGCAAGGTCTGAACACACATCTCTCGCTTCTTCCACGTTTATACGATGAAAGCTATTAGGTAGATAGGTAAATATCATCTGAATGTTATTAAATATTAGGTTTAATATTCTATAGAAAAAAACAATATGTAGTCTGCCTGCCAACCCAAATGTACCTAGGATAATTATTAAATATGTACAATAAAATTAAATACCAACCTGCATTTGAAGAAGTCTAGATCCACCACCTTTCTCCATTTTCTTATCACAAATTTGGACACAACTGGAAGATGGAAGTCTATCACGAATTTGAAATAAACAGTGTTTATCGAAAAATGTACACACGAATTAAAATTTGCAATAAAATATTATAAAATACAAACACAACAATCACAAAATTTGACACAACAAATGACAAAATGCCTAAATTTCTTTCCCGCGTTTTAAATCGAACATGGAATGGGTACAGATAAGTAAAGCACGCTTTTTAAATTATTACTTATCGTCGTAACGATAAAACGAGGCAACGGTCGCCGCGCGACTCAGCCAGCTGTTATGACTAACGCAGGACATGCGGCCGCGAGATGGCGTGGCGTGGCGGGGAGCGCAACCGGCATACTCTGCCCTGAGCTGAGTAATCAACAGACTGCACTGAATTATATCTAAATCTACGGGCGCCTCCATTCCTTAGTATTTTTGTAATTATTTTAGTCAAATAAAACTGTTTATGTAATATAACTATATATAGGCATTGCAGATTATTTACGAGCCCGCAGCCGAATGCAACTAAGCCGGCGTAAGTTTACTGCAAATTTTATCGGTCGTTAACCTATTCTATAAGTCTGTAAATTATATTGTTATCACTTAGTTAGGTACATTGCTTCACTTTATTAACATGTATAATGTTGGTAAATCTTAATGCCTCATTTTTCGGATTTTTGGATCGGTGTTTAACTTAAAATAATCACTAAAAAGTTGTCTTAGTTGTCTGTCAGTTGAAAAGATGAAAGATAGTGTAAATTTCTTCATTCTTATATTTTCCTTACGGCCTAAGTCCTAACCATGGAAGCATATCTTTTTCAAGGACTGTTACACCACATTTGTGCTTTTTCACGGTCATGACAAATTTACTTTGACGTAGATTTATTTAAAAGCGACATCGAGAGGAAGGTTTTAAAGCAATAATAAGCGAATTACTTATTACGTCTCAAAGCTTATTTAGTTTTAAAGCTGCGCAATAGATGGCGCTGGTGGCAAGTTTTAAATTTTATTTAACTCGTCGAAACCTTTCTTCTTTGTCTGCTTCCTACTAATTTATAAAAGTCGCTCTTTAATCAAAATAAAACAAAATAATAACCCAAAGGCATTTATTTTACAAAAGTTACATACAAACACTCATAATTCTCTGTTGCCAGTGACATACGCATTCGTGACGTCACTACTACGTCCATGGCTACACATCTTATTTGTCAATTTCACTCCAAATTTTCACACACTGCGACTTTACAAATTAAGGCTTGGCTTATACAGACGTATTATATCACCTATTGTTTACTTTGACAGTATTCAAGGCCGTATTAAAGTATTGGGTACAAAGGTAACTCAGGCGCCCAAAATATGTACGCCCATTGGCTAGCGCTCCCAGAGCCGGCAACTGCGCGCCTTGCTCCGGGGTAGGCGGTGGCTGTTTCTACATGAAAATTTGGCACACTCGAGAATATGTAAAGTAACTAAAAACATAATTAAAATAGCATTTTGACACACAGATACAGACACTATGATAAACACTTTTTTTTTCTAGAATTATGGACTAAAATACATAAGATTATCCATTAAAACTATATGAATATAGAGGAAAGTTAAATTAATTGTTTCTACGACAATTTTTTTTTTTTTATTTTATGACCTGGTAACATAGACCTTTAGGTCATTTTCTACGACAAAAATATTGACACGGCAAAGAGGAAAAAATGGCAGTGATCGTTCTAAAAACTTTTGTCATAGACAAAAAATTGTTTTTCTAAATAATCTTTTCATTGGCGAACGTCTAACATATTCTACATTTGAGATTTTGAATATTAATGGAAGTTTAATACAAAGACATAATTAATTCTTACGTAAGTAGTTTTTTTTGTTAATCGCAGTGTGTGTTATTACTTTCAACTAATCTAACAAACATCTAAGTTTAAATCACTGATATTATTTCTAGACAAAAATTAAGTCATCCTGAGTTTTGTTTAGTTTTTTTCATTCATTTAGGTAATTAGAAATATATCAGTAATTTAAATAATTGCTCACACAGCTTTAATAGGCCACTAAGAGAAGTTGTATTATTTTAGTTATTAAAATTATTAAAACATGGTATAAATGCAAAAACACTTAAATTTTATGTACGGAAACTAAAAAAAAAATCAGCTATATTCAAGTTGATTAAGATAAAGTGGGAATTTGCAATTTATTCATATATGTATTTCGGAATCATTTTTTAAGTATAGGTTACTGCTGTGCGAACAATTTAAAAATAACTAAAACATTATAAAGGACACGAACGAACACATTAATTGGAATATTAAAAAATAAATTTTTCAAGCGTTCCATACAAAAATACGTTATTCTATCATTTCTCGACGAAACCAGCGTCAAATCACTTTATTGCTGCCTAATATTTAATTTCCATTGTTATCAATGGTACAAATTTATATAAAACTAAAAATTACTCTTTTCGATTTTGTGCACTCGATTCTCTTTTTGAAAAATAACCATTTAGGATATAACAAAAAACTCTATCGTTACATAGCAAATTCGCTCCGAAACTAACAATTTTTAAATTAACTGCGCATAACGTTAACGTATTTTAAGATAACTTCAATATTAAACCTCCTTTTTTGTCTACATGCAACTCATACAAAATTCACCCAAATCTGCAACGTTTACTCGCTCACTAATTATTACCTTACGACAACTAATCTATAATAATCATTACAACTGTCTACAACATCTATAACTGTAATGCAACGCTCCATTGATAAATACGTTAATTTAAAATAATTTAATTGGGAGATAAGTCACTTATAATTTACTTAAATTGTATATTTCAAACACGTGTCTTCTCTTTTTAGTGTATTTACTCTATGACATTAATTCATTTTTTCTTTCTGGCAATAAATAATATTTAAAAACAAATCGTGACATTCTGGCAGTATGGTAGGAGTGTTGCATTACAGCTTTTTTGGCGGGACAAGGGACTAAAATCGCTTTTACCTTGCCTAGGTACCACACAAATCAGGTATCAGGTAATATAATTTTAGGCAGTCTTTGGGTAGGTCGGAAGATTTTACAGCGATTACATACACATTTCAAATATTAAATGTACACCAACCACACCTAGTTATGCCGAGCCATTCTAAATCAATGCACGATAATTGGACGACAAGAGACCCTTTAAAAATGAATTCGATTCAAAGGGACATTGGATTTAACTTAAAATAATATATTAATTTTAAGATCAATTCCTTTAGTTACATGTTTTTGTTTTTCCATTTTCAAAAAGTCGAAAGAATATCCTTCTATTTATATGTTTATACAAACTAAAATTAATACAGAGGTCAAGATATTAGTATCATTTTTAAAAGGTCTCTACAATTTAAGGTATTTTAATCTCTACCGACCACATTTACTAAATGCTAACATCGACTTACATCTAAAATACTTCACAATTTACGGGGTAAATACATTTAAATAACCTCATAATTGGTGTCATAAGGGATAAGCGTTACTTACTCTACTTATTTAAAAAAAACGTAAAAGTATTGTTTTATTGAATCTTGTTATACCCGGTGTTTGTGCGATATTTTTTGTTAAATTTATTTAGATGTGCACAGATAACTTCGATTAATACAAGATACATTACCCTGGTGTCGTGGCAAGTAAAACATTCAAAAAATTTAAAAACATTGTGTTATTAAAGAAAATTATTATGGTAACCCCACGCGAGACGATGCATTTTTATTAAAAGTACAAAATAAATTCGATATATGTTTTTCGAGTCTTAACGATTTTCCGAAGCAGATTACAAGCATGCTGCGAACAAAAGTTCCTGTTGCTTAGTGTATTTGTTAAAATACTAGTAGGGCTGGTGTTAGGATAGGGCGCGGTTAGGCGACCGCCCAAGGCGGCAAATCTTCATTTGCACCTGCGTCAACTTTTGAGAAAAAGTTTTAAACTACCACTGCATTTGTACTATAATGGCCTTTTAAATGGCAACATTACACCGCTTTTGCAGATGACAAAGACCATAGACTACTTCATTAAAATCCAGATTAAAAAATCCGTCGTCAAGCGTGTGGTTACAATATTTTATTAAAATGTCCTGAATTGTGTTTGTTTTTAAACCGACATTTTTAAAATGGAATAGTTGCATAGTTAATCTATAGGTTTACAAAGTAATAATTGTCATTCTTACGAATTGGTTATTTTTTGTAGGCCGTAATAAACCACTAAACTCTTGGCTACACACATCATTTACAGTACGACTAGGGTGCATGCAATTATCTATTAGAATTCGACGTTATGACGATTGACTGAACGGTAAATATGTGCTTTTTAAATCCCTTTAAATTGTCATGGTATAAATATCATAAGAATTGTCGTGTTTCACACATTTTTTTCCTTTATTGAGTTTCATTTTGGCACGTATGATTCGTATATATTGTGTTGTCGCTTGCTTAGCTTTGAGCAATGCATTGGCCGTTTATTAGTAATCCGAAAAGAGGGGAATTCGTTAAAAGTTACCGTACAATGATATCTCTTATTTTTTATAATGGTAACATTTTCCAAATTTTTAACCGAATTTTCCCTGAAATAAAAAAATACTGGATCGCTGCATCGTTAACAACAAAATCCGTTCACTGTATAACCATAAAAATAAAATCAAACATTAAATGTCATGGGAGTCTAAACTTGGTTGTTATTTCATAATTTAATTGATCTAATTTGCTAGTAGACTTCAGAACGATCTGTTCATTAAATAAGTCTACTACTTTCTCTTTACATCATGAAGTCACCACAGTCAACACCGAAGTCCCAGTCATCAGATGTAGTAGCGGTGTCATCGTACTCCGCGAGTGCCTGTTCATACGCCGCAGCCTCGTACGCTGTCACGCCATCCAGCATGGAACACGCCTGGGACACATTGGTGTGATGCATTATGGGCATCGCGTGGAGTGCAAAGTCTTCGCCCTCCTGCGACCACATCAGACCTGAAAATAATAAAATATATGTCGTCATGCAAAATGTAAAAATTTTATTTTTCTGGCAAACACACAACATCGACTAACAATTACTGAATCTATATTTTCTAGTACTCCTCCTCATAATTTTTTCAACCTTAACACGATAAGCCTTTATTAAGTAAATTACATAATCTGTATAATTGGATATTTATGACGACAATAACAGCAATACCCCACACGATATAGCACCTTTACCGCATCTCAGTTTACGGTGACAGTATTATCACGAGGATTCTGGAACTTCGCCTATCTAAAAAAATATGGAAACTGACGAACTACGACTAATAAATAAGTAGAAGTAGGATAAAAATTCTAACTACAGATAAATAAAAAAAATACTTAAGACCATTACCGATTCCTTCTCGTATGCAGAGTAGTTACCGCCGACGGCACTACGGACAGAAGTATTAGAAGGAAATCAGTACTTACGGCCATTCCACACACCATTGGGCTGCGTCGCCCAGCCCCAGCCCTGGCCCCATGCTAGCTCGTGCCCGAGCTGTCCCGCCAACGCTACAAAACGGAGAAGTGGAATGCTATCAGAAACTCACGGCCTACGACGGTATAATCTAGCTCTGCGCGCCGTCCCCTCGCCAGCTAAGGGAGAAATGTGAGATGTGATGTACTCACGTCCACTCCACACGCCGTTGGGCAGCGTCACCCAGCCCCAACCTTGACCCCATGCCAGCTCGTGTTCCAGCTGGCCCGCCAGTGGCACTTGTCGCTTGATCACCGCAACCAGACCACGCCCCTCGAGTGCACTCAGTGCACTTCGGGTACTCCGTGTGTACATTTCTGATGACGTCGCTACAAAATACAAGCCTATTAAAAATCGACATACGTGGTAAAAGCATTGATGTTGAAAGTAAAATGGGATGTTCAAAAACTTTGCGTGAAATATAAGTTTTTATTATGCAATATGCAATTTTTAAATTAACCCAAACAATGATGGACAATGAACGAGTTTTGACATTGTTTAATGACGTTTCAAATTCAATTAGGGCTGTTGAGATTTGTAGACCAACTGTACTTAATTAAAAAGTCCCTGTAAAAATCCTTTTATCCGGGCTATATAAAGCATCAGCGCTGTATACGGCTATTGTTCGGGATTTCGGGAACATGGCTTCCCCATTACGAGTTGCGAACTCCCGCTGCAAACTTGCGAAGCTTTACCGAGTTGTCATCGCACAGTTTTTGTGCGCTCACGTTGCCATTGATAAGGCCTATTAATTAAAAATTTAGTTGAATAAGTTCTAGAGTTTGCTATTTTAATAAGCTTCACAACCATTGAATAAAAGGGTAGACTGATATTAAAAAGAGAATATAATTGGGAGACGAAGATTTTATAATTATCTTAAACATACTAGATGCATCTTAAAAGAGTATATGTTCATCGCATCTATTTTCGTCTTTATAATAAAAAAAATAACCATAAAAGGTTCACTTAGTTATGTAGACGAGTAAACAAATAGTTTTTTTTATTGTACCTACATTGAACTTATGCTGTAAACTGCTTACGGACCTAATTACAGAAAAGTTCTCTTTTATACAATACAAAACTCGATATTGAAAAAGAGAAACACGAGTTATTTCTCTTTGAGGAATTCCCTTTCAACTGTTGAACATCGTAAGAACACTTATATTAAGAAATGCGAAGGATTTATAAAATGTAAGCTTTCAGAATTTTCTACTTTAATTTGTTGATGGTGGTAAATTATTAATTAAGTGCTGATGTGGGCGAAAGATTGTGCGCGCTAGCGTAGTAGATGCCTGTTCACTCAACTCCTGAAGGCCATGTCATACTTGGACGGAAAGACAAACGCCGGCAACTTGTTTCAATCCTTTGAATTACACACGAGGAACGATGAATCAAACCTTTCAAATTATAGAACCGATTTGAAAAATCTTTTACTATTGATCAGCTATAGCCGTGTAACATCATCATCAGCTCACCATACGTCCCCACCGAGGGGCTCGGAACCTACCCAAAGTTATCGGTGATTAGGCCATAGTCAACCACGCTGGCCAAGTGCGGGTTGGTTGACTACACACATATCACTTCACTTCACCGTAAGAACTTCGAATAAATGTATATATATATGTAAATCGGAAATCGAAAAACCACATTGGTATATAGTATCGATTCGAACCCAGGATCTGCAGATTACAAGTCAAGTACTTAACCCCTGAGCCACCGACGCTCTAACAGTAACATAGACTATCTTTGTTAGTAGATTTATAAATTGCTTAATAAATAACATAGTTTTTACTTCCCTTAGATCATAAAAGAATGTTTCCTTGTTAATATTATTTTATGTGTTGAAACTTAATTTTACGGCATGCACAAAACAGACGGGTATCTAAGCGGGGTTTTGCGAGGCCTGGCTTAATCTTTATCAGCCGTTCATTACACGCTCCGCCCTGTGTTTAACCAAGTAAAAGGTTTATTGCACGTCGGTATTAACATCTTAAATCTACCCGGAGATAAGTTGACATTCATGTTAATTAATTTAAACAAGCCAGCTTAGCGTCACCTTACACATTTAAACATCCCTGATAAAGCTTTGTAGGCGAATTATATCGTTTATGCTACTAGATTGGACAAATAGTGGCTTTTGTTAGTAAAAAGAAACATGTTTTGTTTATTCTGAACACGTTTTTCTTGTACAGATATTTTGACAAAGTGTATACACGGATGTTTTGTCCAAAAAAAGCGACATCTTGTTAAAAAGTATGTAACTACAAGTTGCCTATTTCGATAACGTATAATTAATTTTGTATTAATATCTGTAAGTGTTAAATTATATCACAGATTAGTTAAATTATTATTGTAATTGAACATTTCTCTTTTATCTCGCAGGCAGAGCGTCGATTAACGAGAATCGATATCGATTTCCCGGTATTCGAAGCGTAAACTCGATTATTTGCGTTTCGAGTCACTTGTTTTATAAATTGTTGTTCGCTTTCTTATTAATTTGATGGTAAATCGATTGAAAGTACGGAACATTCACAATCGTAATAAGCTGGGTACCGGGAAATTTTAATTTATTAGAACTCTCGTAAATATTTTTATGTCGAATTCCTTGTAAGTAACAAGCGGTATAATATTTAAATCAGGGCATCAAATGATAATAATTTTAAGGCCCTTAATTTTCTTATTAAAATTAGATAGCATAAAGAAATAATTGTATTAACCAAGTCAACGAATATCTGCAAATTTTTACTGATATTTACTGAACTTATAAATATTTGTCCTATGCAGTTGCATATCTGTCCTATACTTTAATTATATTATTAACTTTAAGTGTATTTACTTACGTCTGACTCTTACAGTTGGCTTCTTGAAGGCAGTACGGAGGTACGGCATTGACATCACCAGCTCGATGTGTGGAGGAGGCGGCAACTGGGAAAGTAACACATCAAATACGTTATTGTATACTGCACCAGACGTTAATACGTTCAATGCTATTGAATACCATTGGTTTCTGAGACCAAAACGTCTGTATAAAACTTATCGTCATCCAACATAGAGGTAACAATATGTTTTAAAAGGAGATTTCGGTATCAAAAACCTTTGATCAGTGGCATTAGATGTTATTTAGTGTTAATTTTAAGCCTTTAGTTTTTATTTTAGCAATGAAAAATATTTGCTGAAGTCGGTCAGTATAACTTTGTACAATATAAATTGAGTACTAAAGTGTACAGAATAAGCGTGTTGGCACTTAATAAACGTTATTAGGGGAAAGTGCGCTACGAATTTCGATCATGCGATAGGCTTTATTAGGGTCCTTATGGGTCTTGCGATTAGACCCTCGATGAAATAGCCATCTGGACCCATACTAATTTGCTCCCTCTGATGTTCAATAACTAGTTTGGAGCTATTCTACCCCACGATACCCTTAACGTATACCTTAGGATTTACCTTAACCTTATCTTTACTTTGCAATTGGAACACTTACTTACCGTTTTAGATATCGCAGCCACCCATTCCCTTAGTAAGCGTTAACAGAAATACGACATATAAAAACTATATTTGGAAGCCATTATCCATAATCCTCTGTTTGATATTAAAAATGCTGAAGTAACTCTGTCTCGCTTTCACGCCAAAAATACTGAACCGATTTAAATGAAATTTGGTACACAGATAGTCCCGAGTATGAGAAACAACTTAGGCTACTTTTTAAAGCGAAAAAAGAGTTGTAGAGGATTGAAATGAGGAATGAAAATTTGTATTGAAGTAGCGTCATTTTACAGCTAGAAGTTAAAAACCTACTTTTAAAGCTGTTCATTTGATGTAAATAAATATGACTATCAGTTGTAATATTAGTCCAAATAATTAAAACGCCTTCCACGGTATTTCACGTGGACAATGTCGCGGGCACAGCGAAGCAGCGCGCAGCGTAAATAAGAAATTACAAAGAACACGTGTACGAAACGTGAACGCATTTTATAATGTAACCAGTGTTAACGACTGCCTTGACCTTTCCCTGGGTATCAGGGTACGCGTTATTAAAAATGTACATGCAGTTATTGCTTTAGATATAAGATTACATGAATATTTATGAGTCGGGAGCTCACGCTACGCCGGTCACAAAGCGACCAAACGAGTTGTATAGTAACGCCCTCATCCGGCAAGCTTCCCACGGGATTAATTCCATTTCAACTCGACGATTTACAACGCTCAGTGTTAAGGACCTTGAAAACTTCACGCTTCCTTCTATGCATTTTATTTTCAACTATGTACATTCGTTGCACTTTGCATGTAAGGACTGACATACACGGAATGATATGTTGATCTTGACAGCTTCAAGCAAATCTTTAAGCGATGAACAAAACAACGGCTATACGCTAACAATAAGAGAGAATAGGATAATTAGGTAAGAAATTAAAGAAGAAATATTACATTTTGTAGAGCTTATACTTTTTGGTTCTTCCTTTAAGAGTTAAAGACAATTTACGAAGCGTACTTTGTCTTTTCTCTAACAGTTGATGCATTAAACAAGTTTGTAGTTTGATTTATTACTTAAAGTGACATTTTCTTTATCACCAAGGGCCCGCATGAGAAGTGATGGATTACGAATATTTCCTTATTCCCTTTCAGAGACAAGTGTCACTTTGCTGGCGGCGAGACGGTTGGACCCAATTATTATAAATAATGGTGCGGTATCCCGTTACTATGTCAAGGACAAACTGAGAACGATACTCGTAATATTAAGCTTTTAAGCTTTGGTTTTATTACGAGAGGAAAGCGGATTTTATACGTAATTTTGTTATGAAAGATAATAAAATCTTTAATGAATTTAAAATTAGAATAGGTTAGTTACGTACAGTAAGGGAAGAGCAGTAAGAGTTAAGTAAGATTCTTTAAAAGATTGTTGTTATACTAAAGAATCAAAAAATCAATAATAGTATGAAGGGTAAAGTCTAGTAATACTACTAAACTTTTGATTAATAATTATTTTGTAATTCGAATCTAGAGTGTCGGTGGCTCAGTGGTCAAGCACTTGACTTGCAATCTGCAGGTCCTGGGTTCGAATCCCGCCATGTACCAATGTGTCTTTCGATTTCCGATTTACATATGTACATTTATCCGACGTTCTTACGGTGAAGGAAAACATCGTGATGCAACCTGCACATATCTCAGAAGAAATTCAAAGATATGTGTGAAGTCAACCAACCCGCACTTGGCCAGCATGGTTGACTATGACCTAATCATCCTTAACTTAGGGTAGGCTCCGAGCCCCTCGGTGGGGACGTATAGTAAGCTGATGATGATGATGATGATGAATTAGAATAGTACCAAAAAGTAACCATCAACGATGTATTTAAGTCCTAAAGGGATTTATTACAAAAACTTTAATTATGTGACATGCAATAAATCTTAGATAAAAAGTGCCATTTGAAACGGCAATATTTCAAAGCACTTAAATATTAAGCTGTAGCGAAAAATGTAGCGGCAAAGTTTTAGAAATGATGACGCCGTAGTCTATAAATAAAAACGCGAACCTTAGAAGAATTCGCAAACAAGTGATATCGCTTTATTAGAGGGCGAAAGTTCGTAGAAACTACGTCGTTGTACTAAAATATAACATGAAAACAAAATAATGTTACTACGATGGAGAACACGATGTAAAGGTGTTTTCACACTAGGAGACAGTTATAACAATATATATATATATATATATATATATATATATAACGGCTTTACTGATATGGCTAAAAATTGGTGAGAAGGTAGCTTAAACTGAGACGGACATAGGATACTATTTATTCATTTTTTTCGAATTTATGCCTTGAAGAGCTGCGTTTTATTTAACTTACTAATATTATAAATGCGATTGTTTAGCTGGATATGATGTGGATGGATGGGTGGGCTACACTAATTAAGTGTTTTATATATGCACGCGGACGGAGACGCGGGCGACAGCTAGTAAGACTTATAAATTGTTCCTGTTCACGAAAATATATATAAATACTTCAGTTAAATGCTCAATCTTAAATTAATAAAATCAAACAATTTAATAAAATTCATAGAATCCAAAATTAACAAAACACTTATTTTTCTTATAAACAATGTTTAAATGGATGGATGGTTGTTTGATTTATTGAAGGTATATCCAGAACGGCTGCATGGATTTCACTGAAATTTGGCATAGATGTAGAAGATAGTCTGGAAGAATATATAGGCTACTAATTAGGTTTTTTAATACCACGCGCGACAGCGAGTATTAAATATACGTAATAACATGATTCAGAAAGGAGTGATGACAAACATCAGCGTTACCGATAAACATATCAAAAATCTCTTCAGTTATAGACACGTTGATTAGACAGAGAAGGGTATACACCAGAAAAACGAGAAAGCAAAACATATAGAACATTTAGATGACTTGCAGAATTAGAGAACGAGCTAGATAGTTCAAAACAGAGAGAAAGGGATAAACCTCTTACCTCATTTCGGCGTCAGATTTCGCCAACATCCAGACCACGTGTCCAGGGTCTCTTCTGGAGCCGAGCGCCATCAGCTGGGATAGCTTAGCACCAGGCGGCAAGGCTGGTCGCTTCGGCACCTGACCTGTCCATGTTGAAATCGCCAACATTTCTGGACTCTCCTTTACGAGATGTTTTTGAGTTGCGAGACATTTGCCCGATGCGTCCTGTGAAAAAAAAAGATAAAAATTTATAATTCTATAATACAAAACCTTTTAAATAATAAAGATTCTTGAAATAATATAACGATTTTTTTACTATGATTCTATTCAAAGTTATAAGTTATTAGTCTGGATATTAAACCTACAATATTGACCAGAGACAATAGATATCACGTTCACTAGTTCGCAGACACTGGCTTATTGTAATATAGTAATATCGTCAAAGATAACTGAACTTAAAACGACCGTATTAATTACAAGGTCTAAATTACTTATAACGCAATCAAATAAGCAATAATGGCTCTCAGGCGGTGCTCATCTCTGTGCGAGGCTCGTAGAATATTTTAAAATCAAGTTGAGTGAGCGCTTTTCTCTAATCGATACTTGATAAGATCTAATCAAGAGAGGTTAACAACTTTTTCGATAAAAGCTTTCTGCCTTAAATACTGTAAGGCGATTTTATTATATAAAATAAATAGTTACATTATTATATAATACATAGATTTATTTTTGTTTTAAGTTTTATTAGATACCAAAGTATAAAAATATCAACTTCTTTTTGAATGAAATGTATTTAGGTATGTGTATTTAGGAATCTAAAACGTAAAACTACAATAAAACCTGAAACAAAGTAGAAATAATTGACAATTTTTCTAATACTAGTTGTCGCCCACAACTCCTTCCACGCAGAATTAAAAAAGAAACGTAATTAGTAGCCTATGTGTTCTTCCAGGCTATGTTCTACATCTATGCCAAATTTCAGCGAGATCCATACTACTGTACTGGATATACCTTCAAACATCCGTCCATCTAAATATTCGCATTTATAATATTAGTAAGATAAGATGAACTTATAGCGTCATTGAAATACATCTACAATTCCCGACCCAAAACCTAATACTACAATAAAACATGAAACAGAGTGAATATAATTGTCGATTAATTTAATATTTATATCGTTTCATTATTACTTATTTTGTTATTCAATGACACAAACATTTATCATTACTTCATTAAAAAAATATATATAGTATTATAATTGTAAGAAAAATGCTTACAATATATATTCTAAAGAGTCTCGTATTGCCAACATAGTCGTTTTAATTGGAAAACTTTCCAATTTTTCTCTCGAGGCATTTACAAGGTCGCTATTGAACTTAGAAAGCAGCTGATAAGTAAAGTTCTACTTTTTAGGACTTCACCTCTTACTAGCTGTCGCCCGTGATTCCGTCCGCGTTGATATATAAAAAACTTAATTAGTGTAGCCCAACCATCCATCCATCCACATTCATCCATCACATCCACATCTATGTAAACATTCGCATTTATAATATTAGTAAGTTATATAAACAGCAGATCTTCAAGGAATATATTCGAAAAAAAAATGAATAAATAGTATCCTATGTCCGTCTCCTGGCTCTAAGCTACCCTCACCAATTTTCAGCCATATTGGTAAAGCCGTTCTTGTGTTATAAATAGTGTAACTAACAAGACTTTCTTTAATACATATAGATGTTTGTCAGAAGGTATCTCCAGAACGATTGAAAGGATTTCGGTGAAATTTTGCATTGATATAGAACATACTCTGGAAGACATAGGCTACTAATTAAGTTTATTCTTTTTATTCCGCGTGGATAGTGTCGCGAGTTAAAGCTGTGATAAAATAAGATGAAGGAATATTTAAAAGCGTAATTTAAAAACGTAAATTAGTCTCTTATTCCGATTCTTTTACACAGTTCAATACGATTTTGAAAATGAATGTAGATGGCTACAACGGTAGGGGAAGACCAAAAAAAGTATGGAATGACTGTGTGAAAGAGGATATGCGTAAGAAGGGGCTAGACTCGGATATGACGGCTGATAGAGATGTATGGAGGAGTAGTACATACTGTGCCGACCCTCGATAGGGATAAGGGCAGGTTGATGATAATGAATACAATTTTGAAAATATTGTACAAAATAGACTATAATATAACTTTGTATTATTTAGACATATCGATCAAATTTCGGAAAATATATTTAACCAAGTCTTAGTATTATTACTTGATAAATTGTCCACTCAATCCGTATTGTCTACTCAGTCGATTGAATTTCTTCATTCAATTGAGAAGAGCTTTAGTTTTGTCTTAAACAAACTTTAAGCTCCACGAAAGCTGCAGGTTGAGAAATTGAACGGCGACTTCTCTGTTGGCACATGAATTGGAAAACTTTAAGCTTTCATTGAGCTTACGTGAAATCACTATTAAATTGTCTGAACAACTTCAAATTGATAAAAAAATAGTTTTTAGTTCATGAAATATATTGAGTTTTAATTAAATATTGCCATTATTATCTAACTGCAGTAGATAGTAGGTATAGGTAGGTTTTAACAGTGGTAGAGCCCGCTTTAACATCTTCGCACGAATCGGCCCGGCTCGCCCGGTGAAATATCACGACCACACAGAAGACAGGCGTCAAGTGGAAGCAATTCCGCGTTTCGTCTGATGAGTGTGCGTCCCGGAGGCCTAATTTAGTCCTCTTTCCCTTCCCACCTTTTTTTATAAGGAAAGGATGGGAAGTGGAAGTGGACTTTCCGGATTAGAGGATGCATGGGAAGGGAAGATCTTTTATTTCTGTGCATCCCCTCCTCCGTCGATTAAAGGTAGGCAATGCATATGAAATTGCGTATGTCTATGGGCAACGGTCACTTCGCTATTTCAGCGATTTCAGGTGGCCGCTCGCTCGTTTGTTGCCACCTTATGATATAAAAAAAAATGTTAATAACTAGTTTTTAGTTGTTGAAATTTATTGAGTTTTAATTAAATATTGCCATGATTATCTAACTGTATTATTTAATAAAACACTTAATTTAAGAAAAAAACAAAAGAATTGTTACATCATCTAGGAAGAGAAATATAAGTGAAGAGTGCTCCGCCAGCACAAGCATTGTAGAACATCACAAGAGGCGCTGCGATGACCTCGGACACTACACACTGTCGCTTCATGAATCAAGGTAAAAAGCCCACTTTATGCCTCTTATAATTGTTTGGACTTTGTTACTTATACGTACGAATACGTATACGATACATAAGGCATCAAAAACAGGAGCAGTTACCCTACTTCGTTATTATTAAGTTAATGTACACATTACAACGCCTCTTACTTATGTGATGCGACAAATCTTTATTAACGCTAAGGAATTTTATTTCTTATTTATAATTTTCGCTGATGCAAAGAAATATCTTAATGGAATTTTGACAAAATCGCACATAAAAGCTTCACCTGTTTTTTTACTTTAAAAACTTTTTCTTCGTAAATATTACTTGGTTTTCTACATGAAATATTTTTAGACTTCGACTTCGTTAGCGTTGAACTAAAGAGAACAGTTTATAATATGCATGCATTAGCTACCTCCTCGTCAAAATCGGTTCATTCGTTACGGAGATTACCCGGAACAAACTGGGCCTTGCGGACTGACATTCAGACAGACAGACTTTAAACAAATTGGTTTTTGTTTATTAGCTACGCAAGTACTAACATTTTTCATGTCGATATTACACATAGACATTCCTATTTTATTAATATGTATAGATAAATGTGTCCCAGTTAAAGCTTAAATACGACAAAAATGATGTCAATATATCTTATTATATACCTACGTAATAAAACACGAATTGACGTGCGCAGTCTCTTCGACTATAAAATAGTTTCTGATAGTAACCACTTCTGTTTTAGTACCGTGTCCCGCACTTAATTGTGACGTTAGCTTTATCTCTAAGCACTTAATGGCCGATTAATAAAACGATACAACTTAATTTAAGATTGACTTTAGTTCTAATTATTGCAGGATTTATTTTCTATAGATTCTTTACATCAACTTGTAGTCGTCCGCGACTTTGTCTGCGTTAAATGAAAACTTAAGCATCTGTTTTTCCAGACTATGTTCACACGTGTGCCAAATTTCATCAAAATCTGTAAAGCTGGTTTGAATCCATCGAACCATCCATCCATCTAAACATTCGCATTTATAATATTAGTAAGATAAATCAAATGCTGCAGAACTCATTTAAAAAATTTCATCATGAGAAATGTACATAATCTTTGATTAACAAAGACTATCTTTTTAACAATTCATCATTCGAAATTCAAAATCCCCGTAGCCGAATTTCAAATACAGTCTCTTACTTTGTTAGTCTTTGATTTGATTTAATAATAACTGAACAGCTTTAGAAGTCTAGAGGCACTTGTATCATGTAACAATCGCGAAGAGTTCTTAATAGTCAAAGATCCGTGGTAATGGAGTGTCGAGTTTGACCCCACAGAGGGCTCTTAATGAACGCTGCGTCGCATAATACGGGGAAATGAAAGCCGAATCATCTTCGAAAGCTTTATAAAATTTTATTTTGCTAAATTAACGAGGAATTTCGTAAATTCTGATATTTACACAAACGAACCAATGTAACCACAATAATTTCATAATTTAGTCTGAATACCTTTATCAGGGTAATTTGCAAAAATTGTATAAACTACCGAAAGAAAATTAGAAAAAAAACTTACACTTTAACTAATTTGCATTAGCTTGGGTATTATTTAACTCACTTTAAAACTAGTTTCTTGGCAAAAATAATAAGTATTTTTGCCAAAAAAAAACACCATTTATCCAACAATCGGTTGTTTGTTAAACGACACTGAAAAGATTACGGGGGAAACGTCTCGTGTAAACTGATTTCGCATACATTTGTGACGCAAACTATAAGCTTAGAGCTTTTATCTTGCCTCACGTTGCAAATAAAAAATGTTATACTTGTAAGCCTGGACAAATTCATAATTCTGAAAATTATGGGTCACGTGAAAGTGAAAATGTACTATCTTTATATATATATAATTCTTCTGTGAGTGTGTATGTCACTGAACTTCTCTCAAACGACTGGACCGATTTTGATGAAATTTTTTGTGTGTGTTCAAGGGGATCTGGGAATGGTTTAGACTCACAATTTTCATTAAATATTAACTTCATATTAATTTATTCAAATTAAAGACGTGTACACAGGACAACGTCTGTCGGGTCCGCTAGTACATTCTATAATATTTCAAAGTAATTCAGAACAATTGTTAAGTTGTTTTATTGTTAAGAGTGAATTTCGGATTGTTTTGATTGTTAATACCATTTAGAACTTCATTCGGCTGTCTATTTAATATTTTATTATTATTTTTAAAACTGTTTCCGCGCTTAGCTACTGACTTGTAGATGTCGCGTCTCCTAAAGTTATTATAACTTTTTGTCGCAGTAATCCAGAGCGAGCGCGCCCGGGCGACCGACTGGATGTAACTCGTTTAGTGCGGAATGGCTGACTCCGGGATATTGGGCACCGGCTTTGATTAATGTGTGGCCATACCTTGCGACAAACTTTATCTTATAACTTCGTAAAGATGCTCTGAAGTTATAATTTATATATGTATTTATCTATCTCAATTTTCAATGGTAAAATATTTTGTATAAATTAAGATATTTTAGACTAGCTATCGCCCGCGACTACGTCCTCGTGTAATTAAAAATAAACTTATTAAGTTTCTTGTCTATGTGTTCTTAAAGGCTATGTTCAACATCTATGCCAAGTTTCAGTGGAATCCGTTAAGCTGTTCCGGAGATACCTTCAAACAAACATCCATCAATTCGCATTTATAATATTAGTAAGATTTTTTTTAGTAACGATTAAACGAATAATAATTTAGAAGTATAAATTTGCAATATGTTTCAAATAAATTCGGAAGATACAGCTCTAAATTCATATTTATATCAATTAGTATGATTGCCTCCAACTAATGGAGGTTGTATTTATGTAAAAGTTAATTCTACTAGTGCGGTCGGCAGTTGTCAGCGAGCAAATACAAAAAAGTATCCAATCAAATAAACGAATATATTCCATTTTATAGAGACACCGCCGCCAGCAGTACCGCGACATTCGCCACATTTTGAAGATTAATATTTTATCTGTGCCCATGTCAACGTTCCACTTGACAGAGTTCAGTTGTTGACCCAGTTTTAACTGGACCAGAGCAAATTTGTGTCTAGATTTTCCAACTAGCATTGAATATTATTTAAAATAAATATTTTAAAATTGTATTAGAAAAAATTGAATTTCGGCGATGTTTCTTAATAAATTAAAGTTCGAGGTTCTTCACAACAAAACTCGAATGACGGATTCAAAATCTCATTCTAATCTTTCGAAATCTTTAACCTTATATTTGAATATGTTGGAAAAATAGGAATAATGATAAAATGTAACATATTTTTTCTTACATAATAAACAAACTCTGTCATTAATCTGATCCCACGATATCAAGCTGGTAATAAACGACGTGCTCCGTCGAATATTCGATGAGTTCAAGATGGCCGCCGGCATAAATTGTCATCAATAACATGGCAGTATGGCGCTGCCGTTGACATCTGGCTGAATGACTGATGGCGGGAAAAAGTTTGCAATATTGTTGTTTATCGTCTAACAGATTTACTACCAAATTAATATAACAATTTGGTAAGACTAATATAATAATACTGTCTATTATTTATTGTATGAAATTCTTATATTATTATGTCCCCGTTTCGAACTAATTTTATTTAAACATATTGGCACTATATTTCTCAAAGAATAAGTAATATGAAAATGTTAAATATGTTTTTTTTATACATGTCAGTCGACAGTGGAAACTCACAGCTACATTGCAGAATACATTTGGACTGTCAGACAGCCGGCAATAACTTTTCGTCATCCTGATTGATATCTCGTCGAGTAGAGATCAGACCATGTCCTCTCGGAGACACCTGTCTCGCTGAATGATTGCTCTCACTTAGCAAAGATTAAATCTAGACCGTTTTCCAAATTATAGATATTCCTTAAAAATATAGATCGTATTTATAACTTAAAAAATAATTTGTAATATGTAAATCAATGGCGCTATTCTTTTTTTACTAAAAAATAGGCAATTTTTACGTAACCTTTTACTTGATTAAGCTAAAACCTTGCAAGATTTTTTATAACAATTTACCTTTTTACTTTTTCTATAGGTTTCAACTGAAGAACTTTGTAGAAAGGATTCTGAAACACGCCATTGTATAACTTTAAGGCGCAAAATCTTTTCAGTTTTTATAACCTAGAAATTCTAAGAATTTATATATTTTACGTAAGAAAATTATTGAAAAACAATCTCAAATTAAAACGGTTTATGAAAAAAAAAACTTCTAAGCAGTCAGTAATGTTCAGATTTTCGTAATCTAATAGATAAGTAAATCAAACTAGTAGTTAAAAAAGAACTAGTAAGAAACGGCAATAGAAAGAACAAACACACATATCATTAAAACATTCCCCTTGCCGATAGGGTAAATTAAAATATGTTTTATTGAAAATCTTTTTTTTAACATACCTTAAACCAGGCCATTGTAGAGTCGTCGTAAAGGACCACCCATTCTTCTGACCACGAGTTCCACAGATATTTTCCTTGGAAAGAAAAAAAAGAATTTTTAATTTATCTTATAAGAAATAATCATGATAATTTACGAGTCTAAAAATGCGTTAAAATCTACAAATCATCTTATCTTGTACAAAAATCTATATCTATATATATATATAAAAGAAAGTTGTGTTAGTTACACTATTTATAACTCAAGAACGGCTTTACCGATATGGTTGAAAATTGGTGAGGAAGTAGCATAGAGCCAGGAGACGGACATAGGATACTATTTATTCATTTTTTTTTATTTTTTTTCAAATTTATGCCTTGAAGAGCTGCTTTTTATTTAATTTATCTATATATTAAGTTTTTTATATATCCACGCGGATGGAGTCGCGGGCGACAGCTAGTAAGCTAATACACTCAATATCAATTAATTTACAGTAACTAAGTGATGAAAAGATATCCAATCAAATACCGGCGACTAGATCAGTGCGGAAATTAGCGGGGAATCGATCTACCGCCTGTCACACACCGCATAGTCAATGCGAGATACGATAATTGTAATGCTTGCCGCACACGAGTGCAGATCAGTAAGCATAGTGCAGTTCGGCTACAGTGTGTGTAGATACAACACTACTGTTTTCAAACAATTGCATTATCTGGCTCATTGGACTGCCTTCGTGTGAAAGTATAGAGCCCGCTACAATCAGATACGCGACTCACATCAACACTAATGAACATTTCAAATACTACACACATTATTGGATAAGCTACATATATCACTAGTTTAGGTATTTACAAATAATATTAAGGTGAACATAGACTAGAGCATTTTTTCGAGCATTTCCATATAACGAAACTTTCTTACCAGTGATATTATACAGGTAAAAGCACAGTTTCCAAAGCACGTGTGGTTCGTGAAAGGATGATACACTAGATCATGTCGATGAGCGGCTTGTTGCTCTGTTACAACTAAATGCTCTAGTCTATACTCACCTTTACAGTTACTTGATTTTTTAAATTATATACGTATGTAAACGGACCACTTGATGCACAGCCCTTACTTCTAGAAAAATTAATGTAAAGATAAAGATTGCTAGGAACGGAATCAATTATACTTATCAGATATAATTAAAGCGTTTGCTTTCTCATTCTATCAATAAAAAAATCTACGAAAATGCCTAGCGAATAAAAAACATTCCGCGGTAGTCGTTAACATAAGTGTTTGAAAGCTTCCATTCAATTCGAGTGCAATTAACTTCGCGTAACATCTCTACAGTATCGATATCGATATTCGACTTTACTCGATTCAACGACTCGTTTTACTGTTCGAATCTCGGAGTCGTAACTCACAAGCGGGCTTTGATAACTGTAGTACGTATTTTATTAGGGCTGTTACACACACGCGGTGGCTCGCTCGTTTCATTACATCGTGAGTAGACGGCGTAATTATTCTGTGTGAAGGGTGCCGTAAAATGGATACGAACGTTATCCATTGTATTTTAGTGGAACTGAATTATGACGTTGCATTTTCAAGTTAAAATAAAATCAATATTAGTTATTATGAACAGATTTGTTTATACGATTACATATGGAGTACTATTTAAGTAATTTCCTTACAGCTTAAAACAGCTTAAAAAATGTTCTTACGTTTATATCGTAGCATGTAGCCCCCTTTGACTTGTGTGCCGCCGTGTTCTGAAACAAAGAAATTTGTCATTCCATGGTATAGAAGGTAGATAAGGTAAGGATATACCTTGTTGGTTGACTGCGAATTGCCTACTGGTTTGATGTAGTAAGTATTCGATACCAAGAAGACGTTAAAGATAATTACAATTGTTTCGATAAATTGCAATAATTGTTTCAAACTTTTAAGGGTTTTAAACTTTTTTAACTTTTCTTCAACATCACCCACTAAAGTCTTCAATAACGTTCGATTTAATACTACATAGACAAAGTTTACGTGTTGAATAAAGCTTAAATAACTTTCTATAAATAAGTATTAAACAGAAGAAAACAAGAATTTTCACATTTCGAATACAAAAGCAAAAAAGAAGTATCGCATCGTATAATTCAGCAATAGGAATGGTGAGTTGATGTGTTGAGGGAATGTTAACAAGGGCCTCTAGTTGGCGGTAAACAGGGAAAATTGGCGCCAAGGCAGTCCCAGCCACGGCGCGTGCCTGGAATACGTAGAGGGATCACACGAGGCGAGCAACAATGAATGAAGATGTATGAAATAAGATATTTGTAGCGAGTTTATTTTTATACTTTTGATATCTCAGTAATATCAATAACATGTCTTTCTTCATTCTTCCTGTAAATGTATAACTAGAATTCGAGTATCATCGTACTTGATTCACATAGACATCTATCCTGTAACTCTACCACGGACACCTTCACCAAACATATTACAGTTTTATTTTTATAAATAGAACGGGGCAAACGAGCAGCGGGAACACCATAGTGTTCATCGACGCTGATGGACACCTGCAATACGAGAGGAACCGCAGATACGTTGGCGGACTTTGAGATGGTGACACGCTCGCTACTCGAAGTTGAGTTTAATACCTTGTTCAATAATCCAGTTCTTGATTTACTGGGACCGCAAGACTGTATTTACTTTATTTATCCATTATATATGTTATGCAAAGGGTTACATAATATTTACGTAATGTACGCCCCCTGCCCGCAGCGTGCCGTGAAAGCCGCTCTCAGTCGCCGGCTGTTAGGGAAAGCTTTGAGTACTAATTCATCAATGTTACGACACCGCATCTTGTTTACTTTTATATAAGCCTAGTAGAATTTCTATGAATCTAAATAATAAACAATAACATCGCAACTTAGACAAGATTCTAACGATAATATAATCCTTTCTGAATATGCAGTGCTTTGTTCCATGGGTTCGACCTCTGCCCTCTAGACACTCAAATAATTTACAAACTATTTCGTAATACTGAGGTATAGGCCTATAATGCTACTTAGAAACTAATATAAAACAAGTTGTTAGGTTTTACTTTGGATCACATGTTTTCTTTGGAAAAAAAATATTGTTGACTACTAGTCTAATTTGATCATCGGTTGGTGACACACTCGCTACATTTTAAGTCCTGACACTAATTTAGAATTAACATATCTTACATTGGACAAAGTTACGCAATATTAAAAATACAGTAACATTCTCGAAGATACAAAATCGTCAGTTCTTAATCAGAATTCCCTTTAAGTATTGCAATATATTTGTTGCGATTATTTTTATCGTATCTCAAAACATTCAGATATCACAAGAAACTAACCATAATATTGTTGGAAGCAATAAACTTGCCAGATCCAAAATACCGAGAAGCGGATTCCCGTCAACGACCGCACTCAAGGTCGACGTTTAGTACTGTTTGTTTATTTATTATCGCTTTTCTTTTCAGATATTAAAGTAAAACGTACTAAAGAGGCTATTAGTGTAAATTGTGTATTGATTTTATATTAAGGTGATACTTAAGTAATCATTATTCTGAGTGTGACAGTAAGTCGTTAAAAGACGTGTTATGAGTATATTTTGTTACATGAGCGAGACAAAAAATATGTATAAAGAGGTGAACAAAAGAGACAGCTGTTTTGCAAAAATTGCACAGAAAATTAAATGCAAATTTCAATCAACTATAGCACAAACTAAAAGAAAACACTCGGAGAAAATTCACCCTCATGTTGCGATATGAAACAAAGCCAAGAATCGTATGACGTACAATGTCTTCCCGCGAGTTATTAATTGTCCCCCAGAGCCTCGGGGCAATACACTGTTTTACTTCATCACTATTGTACATTTTCTGAATAATTACGCGACTGCTATTATCAACTATATCCATTTTTGTTACTACTTAAACAACTAGATGTCGCTAGTTAAGATTAATTTGTCTTTTTTATTTAGCCGCAACAAAAATATATATTCATCTCTCTCATTGTCTTCAATGAAATAGAGACAACAATAGGATTTTGTATTGGTTTTATGTTAAGACAGAATTAGTCTGGCTGTCATTTCCTTTAGACCACGTTCATGTTTATTTTATGAATAGCAATTGAAATTGGTGAATTCAAAACATTTCATTCCATAAAATACCGCTTTATTTATCTCGTTCAAAGTTGGTAATATAATTCTATATCGCACAATACATCCGCGAACGTGTGAGGATGCGCGATTCGCACTCGACTGTGGGAGGCGTTTATCAACAAATTGATACACGTAAACCCCACGTTTGCTTTCATTATACAAACTCGTAACTTTGTAACGGAAACACAGATTTAGATGAGCAATTATTTTGAAACATATTTTTGTTTTTTAGGGTATTTGTAGCGGTACAGTCGCACTTGAAGTTAGCTATTAAGGGGTTTTAGTAAGTAAGAATCTCGCGTAACCCTGTCTTTCCCCCTAAAAATCTTACGAAAATTTCCCCCGATACCTAAAAAGGGTTTTTAGTAGTTTGCAATATTAAGCAATAGAACATCATTCATCATCAGCTCACTATACGTCCCCACATTAAGTCCTGACTTAATACACCCTGACTAAAGACACCCCTGGGTGACTAGGCCACAGTCAACCACGCTGGACCAGTGCGGGTTAACTTCACACAGATCTATGAATTTCTTCTTAGTTATGTTCAGGTTGCATCACGATGTTTTCCTTCACCGTAAGAACGTCGGATAAATGCACATATGTAAATCGGATATCTAAAAACACATTGGTCCATGGCGGTATTCGAACCCAGGACCTGCAAATTGTAAATCAAGTGCTCAACCCCTGAGCTTCCGCGACACTCATAGAGAGCCAGCAAATAAATATTGATAGACATTTTTACACACTCAAGGAATACAGTTTGAAATTTACACTAAAAAAGGTTCTTGACAGACGGACGGATGGACAAGAAAGTGATTCTATAAGAGTTCCGTTTTTTTCCTATGAGGGTCGGAACCCTAAAGAGTAGCCATTTTAACAATAGAAAGTTAACAACAAGCTACATGAAACATCTCTAATTTCCTAAATGAACTCTTTTCATATAGAAAACTGCGTCTACTTGCTTTTTTCTTTCCTGTTCCTTTACACTACACAATCCGGATTAAACTAGTATTGTATTTCTCTTACTACTATTATATATGGGAAAGTTTAGATGGATGGATGTTTGAAGGTATCCCAACGTCCTAATACATCTTACATAGTCAGGAAGAACGCATAGGCTTATTAAATTATTCAAACTTTCGTGAGACATTATACTAAACTGATATATAAACACGGCTAAACACTCTCGTATATACGTCCGGTGGACGGGCCGCGTCCGCGAAATAATACCAGTACCACTCATCCTGATGAAGGGCCCCCGATGGGCTCGAAACTAGTCGGTGCCGACACCGGACGAATATACGTCAGTGTTTAGCCGTGTTTATATATCAGTTTAGTATAGGCTTATATTGTATTTTAGTTCAAAGCGACCAGTGTCGCGGGCGACAGCTAGTATTTATAACTGGTAGAGTTTGTATATATAGTCTTAATATAGGCCTGCAGTTCACAGACACAATTCAACCATTAGCATAAAACCAATATCAGGCCCAACATCACGTAGACTTTTTATAAAAGCGCTCAACTTCCGATATCCAACTTTATTTTTGCCGTTTTTTTGGCATTTACTTAGCTTATTTTTGGGTCAATGACCTTTTTAGAGTAACAAAAATGTTGTATAAAATGTTATTTTGTATTTTATTTTAATCGGAACAGCGAACTATGATAATTTGATTAAAATAAGTTGAATTAAAACGATAAATTAACGGTGGCATTAGAAAATCCCTTTTGCTGTTAAAAACTGAAGCTGACTGTTACTTGACAATGTTATGAATCATTGACAATCAAATAAAACAAAAAAAAATACTCATTTTTAGGGTTCCGTACCTCGGCCGCGGACGAGAGCGAAAGCATGCCCGTGGCCCCGTCTCGATGCGTTGGAGGAACAGAGAGGTTTAGTGGGTATGCCTCCGATATGGAGGAGAATCCCATATAACTACCGCGTCCCCCTTCGGGGCGCGGAGTATGAATAGAGCATTCCTCTCAAAAAAAAAAGGTTCCGTACCACGACAGGAATAAAACGGAATCCTTATAGGATCACTTTGTTGGCCGTCCATCTGTCTATCTATGTGTTAGGACATTTTGTTATTCAGGAAATTAATTTACGATTGAACAATATCTTTGTTTTTTTAAAAACATTATTTATAATTTCTCCGAATTTGTTTACTCTAGTTCCTATATTTTCAACGAGACCTTGAATTCTTTGGATATGAAAATGAAGGGCAGGTGTGACCGCCGCGGGGACGATATTGCTTTTATGCTAATGCCACTGACGAAGGAGATGAACTGCCTTCGATATACTGCAGGGCTGTCATAAAAATATTTTACTCCCGAACACTACCTGAAATGCTAAGTGTCATTTAATGGTAATTTGACTACATAAGTCTACTCTAAGGGACTCCTCTCTACATCTCTAACCGTTAGTTTCCAAGACCAAAATCTTTGACAAAACAGAGGCGAAGTATGTTTTAAACGGGAATTTTGGTCTCAGAAACCCACGGTTAGAGAGGCATTAAGTTATCGAAAAGAATAAACAAATATCTTCCATAGAAATTTACTCAAGTATTCGAGTACATGTCACTTTGATGGCAATATC